TCACAAGAGACAACCAAACACGCGAACTACGAAGAAGAATAAACCTAGCATGGGCAGCCTATGGAAATTTCAAAGACATACTTAAAAGCCATATACCAATTTCTTTAAAGGGTAAAACATTTGACCAATTTTGTGTTGCCTGTGATGACCTATAGTGCCGAAACTTTGATATTGACAGCTTCAAGTTCTAAAACGCTGCAAATAGCTCAAAGGAAAAGGGACAGGTCAATGCTGAGTATATCACTTTATGACTGAGTTAGAAATGAAGACTTAAAAGAAAAACATGAGTTATTGATGCAATTTCCCTAATTTCCACACTGAAATGGAACTGAGCCGGACCCGTCGCCCGAATCAGTGACAAAATGTAGATGCCGAGGTTAGACAAAAGAAGTATAGGAAGACCCCCTACTCGTTGAACTGACGATTTTAAAAAAATGCCAAGAAATTTGATAAAAAGTGCTCAAGGTAGAGCACAATGGACAAAAATTAGGGAGACTTATGTCCAGTAGTGGAGGTAAAGGGCTGCGTGATGATGAGCATACAAACAAGCATGTATGATAGAGACCTGACAACATTAGAAGAAATAAACGACGAATGGAAAACATATGTACAAAATCCAGTCTCAGGCAACAGGGAACATTGATAATAATTTACCCATTTTAACATCAGAACTACAACACACATTAAAAAATATAAATATTGGAAAAGCATCTGGTTCCGATAACATTCATAGTGAAATTGTATAGCTCTTAGAAGATAAAAGCATAGACATTCTTGCACAAATCTTCAATACTATAAATAAAACTTACAAAATTCCATAAAATTTGCTAACATCTATGTACCCCTCCCTAAATTCACAACTGAAAAGTCTTATGTCACATTCTTCTCCTCCCAAGTGTCTTTTCTGTTGAGGTTGGCGATCAATATAGCAAATTTCTCTGTGTTCTGTGCTTGATGAATTATTTCATTTCCTCTTGTGTGGGTCCAATCTCTGATGTTTTGTAGCTAAGATTTTTTCTTTCCTCCTATGCCCCTTTTACCTTTAATCTTCTTCTTCTTTTTTATAAGCAAAATGCTTGTTCAATGTCGATTAATGCCTCTATTGGAGGTTATCACTCCATCTTTTGCGTGGTCGCCCGATACTTCTTCTACCTTTTGGTGATTTGTCCCTCGCTATTCTGACTAATCGGGTCTCTTCCATTCTGTTTATGTGTTCGTTCCATTCCTTTTTTCTGTTCAGTGTCCGCTCATTTATTTCTGGTATATTGCATTTTCATCTGATCTCTTCACTCCTCATTCGATCCCTCAGTGTGTTTCCTGTAATTCTCCTCAGTAAACGCATCTCCGCTGTTTCTAGTAGTTGCTGAGTTTTGGAGGTATCCGGTCTTGTCTCTGAAGTATATGTCATTATTGGTCTTATTGTTGCTTTGTAGATTCTTGATTTCACGTCGGTATTAATGTGGGAATTGCGCCATATCGTGTTATTAAGACAACCTGCTATTTTATTAGCCTTTTGTACTTGATTTTTCACTTCCTTCTCCACATCTCCGTAGCTAGACAGTGTAATTTCTAGGTAATTTGTTTCCATTACTTGCTCAATGCTGATACCGTCGATTTCCAGTTTACATCTAATTGGTTCTTTACTGATTACAATTGTTTTAGTTTTCTGTGTAGAGATCACCATCTTAAAGTCCTTTGCCCTTGTGTTGAATCTATGGGTTAGTCTTTGTAGATCGTCTTCATAGGATGCAATTAGGGTCGCATTATCTGCATAGCAGAGTATTCTGATTTCTTTGTTTCCCATTTTGTATCCTCTTCCTTTATTAATAGTATTGATGATTTCATCCATGATTAGATTCAATAGCGTTGGACTAAGCGAGTCTCCTTGTCTTATTCCATTGCCCATATCTATTGGATATGTAAGCTGGTTATCTATTCTGACTTCCATATTGTTGTTCTGGTAAATGTTCTCTATGGTTTTTATAACATCTAGTGGAATTTCTCTATCGTAAAGAAGGTGAATTACATCTTTAAGCTTTACTTTATCGAACGGTTTGTTCAGTTCTATTAGACATATGAATGCTGGTCTGTTATACTCTAGTGCTTTCTCGGTAATCTGTTTTATGATGAATACTGCATCTGTGCACGATCTTCCTGTGCGAAAACCCTGCTGTGCATCCGCTAAGGTAATTCTCTGATTTATTTGGCCTTGCAATATTTTGGTTGTAAGTTTCAAAGTGGTGTTTAATAAGTTGATACCTCTGTAGTTTTCAGGTTGTTTTTTATCTCCTTTTTTGTATAGTAGGATAAGCTCGCTTTTCTTCCACTCTTCAGGTATTTTATTATGTTTGATGATTTTGTTAATTAGTGCTGTTAGCTGTTCTGTTAATGCTGCTCCACCATATTTCAATAATTCATTTGGAATTCCATCTTTACCTGCAGCTTTTCTGTTCTTCAGTTTTTCTAAAGTTTGTTTTACTTCTTGTACGGTTATCTCGACTTCCTCGTTTGTAATGTTTTCTGGTGTTTCTGGTTCTAACATCATTTGCTGTTCATCATTATAAAGCTTCTTTAGGTATTTAATCCATGTGTCGTTATCTATGTGTTTCGGTTCGATTAAGTCTTTCATCTCTGATCTTTGGCCTCTTATGAAACGTCATATTTCCCTTTGTAGACCGTAAAAGTCGTGTTCCATTTCTTTTGAGAAGCGTCCCCAGTGTTCGTTTTTAATTTTTCTTACTAGTGCTATCGTTTCGTTTCTTATCTTTTTGTAATTGTTGTATTTTTGTGGTGTTTTGTTAGACATGTATCTTAAGTAAGCTTTCTTTTTTTCTTTGCATTTTTCTTTCACTTCTGCACAGAACCACGGAATTTTCCGTTTTTGGAAATATTTATTTTTAAGAATTTTCCTTTCTCCTACAGCTTCTTTTGCTGAATCTAGGATGCTTGCTTTAATTTTCGCCCAGCTTTCTTCGATTCCATCACTTTCTACGATGTGCACGTTGTCGAGTTTATCTTTGACTCTCTTTTGGTATTGAAGTTTTGTTGATTCGTTCTGCAGACTCTCGACTTTTACCTTTGTGGTGTATTCTTCTTTCTTATTTTTGTTGTTTTTATTGTTGCACATGCGTGTCGTCATTCTGATTTTTACAAGTATAAGCTTATGGTCGGTTCCTATTTCTGCAGATGTTAGTGCTCTTACAATACTTGATGTCCAATACTTGAGAGGGATGTATTACCCTGTTCGTCAGGATGTAGTCTATCATTGACCTTTGACCTCTTGTATTTTCGAATGTGTATTTGTATTGTTCCTTATGAGGAAAAAAGTGTTGTTGATGCGTAGTTCATTCGTGCTACATAGGTCCGTGAGGAGATCTCCATTTTCATTTCTGATATCTTCGTTATGACGCTGTTTTATCCTCTTCGTTATGACCTTTAATCTTGCCTTCTAATATTACCTGGAACTGCTCAAATTACCTATGGCTCATTATGTGTCCTAGATATGACGTCTTTCTAATTTTGATAGTATTGACCAGATGAGGGCGTGTGCTCATTACTCTCAGTACTTCTTCATTCGTAGTTCTGCTGGTCCAGATTATTCTTAACATTCGGCGGTACATCCACATTTCAAATGAATTTAATTTGTTGATGTCATACTGTTTTAATGTCCAGGTCTCACAGCCATATAGTAATAGAGACCACACATAACACTTTGGTGTTCTCAATCTTATTGAGACCAGATCTTGCTATTTCAATGCGTCTTCTAATTTCTTTTGAGTGGTCTAGTTGACTATTTAGTTCTTTGTTCAGGTATAGAAGCTTTGGGAACTCTGAAGGGTAATACCATTTATTTGTATGTTAGGTGTAACTTGTTCATGGGGATTCTTGTGGAATACCAGAATTTTGGTTTTGGAAAAGTTAATGTCCAAGCCCAGCCTGTGACTTTCTTCTGATAATATGTTCATCAATATTTTTAGTTGGTCTTCTGTTTCTGTTAATACTACGGTGTCATCGGCATATCTTATATTGTTAAAGATGATTACATTGACTCTGGCACCTTCAGGGCGATCTTCAAGAGAAGCTCTAATTATATGTTCGGCATATACATTAAATAATAGGGGGGACAAAATGCACCCTTGACGCACTCCTCGTTCTATGTTGATGTACTTGGTGTTTCCGTTCTCTGTTCGAACGCATCCTGTGTCGTTCCAGTAAGTATTACTTATGATAGCTATGTCGTCTCCGTCTAACCCTTCTTCTTTTAGCACTTCTTTATATCTCCATATATATCCCTATGTCCCATATGTTAAACATATTTCTGGAAATAATTCATAACGGAATTTACAAAAAGTGTGAAGAGGACCGGCTTATACTAGTTCCCTCCGGCGGTCAGATTTTAATACCCTACAGAAAAATTTGGCAGATAAATTAGCTCCGGCCATATATTTTTTAGAAAAGATAGTTTTAAAATGCCTTTAGTAGGTTCACAATGTATAACAATGAATAGCTTGAGTCAGTGTAAATAGAGAAAGTTGTCTTCATAAATCAGGTACTTTGATATATTATATTATTAAATTTTTTAATAAATAACATAATAATAAAAACATAAATTTTTGCGTAAAACACAGTGCTTTGGTGTTTGTCATATTTTTATTTTATTAAAAATATTTCCTTCTATTCCTAAAACCGATCCTGTTATTGTATATCCCAGATGGCCCAAGTTTATTTACCCAAATACGCTCCTGTCCCACTGCGCATCGCTATTGATTTTTCACGTACACAGCCTCCGTCACAGGATCACAGGATTTTATTCCATTGAGATATTCATCCAGCGAACAAGGACCTCCGACATCCTTCTCCCGTCCACCATAATGACCTTTCGGAGCATTTGAACCTAGGTTCAAATCAGGGGGTTGAGTACTCCCCCAAGTATGCAGCAGTGTTAAATTTTTAGTGATAAAAATTATTGTGATAATAATACAATCATGAAGCTAGAGTGGATGATTTTCGTATTGTACCTTTTTTGTGTTTTGGACTTTTGTTTGTGTAATCCGGATGCCAAGAGACTGTACGATGACCTTTTAAGTAATTATAACAGGCTGATACGACCTGTCAGTAATAATACGGACACTGTTTTGGTTAAATTAGGACTGAGGTTGTCTCAGCTTATTGAATTGGTAAGAAATGGTTTAACCACTTTTAAATATTTACGTGAGTAGGCGTGTCAAATTTAACAAATACATATAGTTGTTTGAACAATTGTTTAGTATATTAGTTCAGAGTTTACATGCTACTCAATAGTAGTATATTTATATAAATATTTACAATGGGAGAGACAACTAAGAACTTATATTAAATGTATAATTGTCATTTGCATCTATACTTTTTATTAATATTAATAGCACAACAAGTTTATGGTTGCTACTTGATAAATCATCTATATTCTATATTTTAAACAAGTTGGTTATTTTATTTTTATTGCTATTTCAAAGTCAGTTGTATTACTTATTAGTGCTGCAAACCGGCAAATCGTAAAACCACCATTTTAGACTATTCGTCTGTTTACCACTAAAATGTTTCTTTTTGTCCTAATTATCTGTTGTATGCATTATTGTATTATTATTATTGTACACCTCTCCCTTTTGTATTTAGTTTATCGCTCCACCTTTTTCAAGGGCAACCCACGCTCTTATATCCTATTGATGCCTTAGAGCGATTATATTATAGCCCAATCTATAGAGAACAAAACATGCATCAATTAGTGAATTTTTGAAACCAACTCAACGTTATGAAGGGAAATGCCTGGAGTAACCTCCAAGTACGTGCAGCTCCAAACTGTTGGTTATAATAAAAGTCCAGTCTCTGTTGGCACCCCTAACAAACATTGTCTGTAAAATCCTCTATCATCATAAGTGGCTCGACAATCCGTTGGGAATCTTGGCCTGCTCACAAAGAAGTCGCCATTCTTGTCGATTCCTGCCAACTTCCCTCCATCTTCTAACCCTTCGAGTCTGTAGGTCTTCTTCCATATCATCAATCCATCTCATTCGTGGTCGTCCTCTGCTTCTTGTGCCCTCTAGTTTTGAATACGTTGATCTCTTCGTATATTCGTGATCTGACATCCTAGCAATGTGTCCAGCCCATCTAAGTCTCTGCACTTTAACGAATTTCACAATATCTGTATCGGTGTATAACTGATATAGCTCAAAGTTGTATCTTCGACTCCATAGCCCATTCTCATTAACGGCCCCAAAATCTTTTTAAGAATTTTTCAAAATACCAAATAAGTCTTTTATCATTAAGGTCTTGCATATATTAAGCTTAACTGCGCGTTTTATATTTTTATTTTTTAAATGTTTCTGGAGACTTTGAACAGTTTGCTATTGCTAAGCGTCTTTTATTTCGTTGCTTGTCGTGTTTGTTGCGTTTACTAGCGTTCCAAGATATGTAAATTCGTTGGCTTGCTCAAAGGTATGGTTGTAAATTTCTCACACAGATTTATTTTACTGTTGTTACGATTTTATTTAAGCCTTCATCGACATTTTCACCAATATTAAATTTTCGTTCAGTTGTCTTTGAACTGATTCGTTAACTTTCTTGTCTTGTAATTGGGCTATATTAATATTTCAATATAAGGTTGAATGTTCGAATAATTGAACTTTGATGGTATACAAGGCAAATATCGAACACAGTAATTAATTAAATCTTGCCCAAGTACTTTCGATCAATGGATCATCCTCAGGGGCATTTCGTCAGTTGTGGCCTATCCGACATGAGCAGAATGTCATACATGTAAATTTGGACATAACAATACAATACACAAATACAAACAAACACTTTAAATTTTTTAAAAATGGAGAAGCTACATGTTATATAGAAGCCGGAGACAGAATGACAATGTAGGTTCTCCATTTCTAAAAATTTTAAAGTGTTTGTTTGTCTTTGTGTATTGTATTGTTATGTCCAAATTTACATGTATGACATTCTGCTCATGTCGGATAGGCCATAACTGACGAAATGCCCCTGAGGATGATCTATTGATCGAAAGTACTGGGGCAAGATTTAATTAATTACTGTGTTCGATATTTGCCTTGTATACCATCAATGTATCAATATCATTGCGAGACTTCTTTTTGATCACCTTTTTTAATTTTAATTGGGTTACAGCTACTATGGGATTGTGATCGAATCCAATGTCAGCACCTGTATAAGTTTTAACTGATTTAATGCAGTTTTTAAATCTATTTTTTATAAGAATGAAGTCGATTTGGTTCCTAATAATTTTGTCTTCTGACTCTGCATTTGACTTCCAGGTGTAGAGTCTTCTCGGTGGTAGTTTAAAGTAAGTATTCGATATAATGAAATCGAGTACTTAGTTACAGAAGAAAAAACAGAATTTATAATAAATTCTGTTGAAAATTGAAATTGGAACTATAAAATCAATTGAAACCTTCAAATACTTCTGAGTCCAAATAACATCAAAAGCAGAAAGTAGCGAAGAAATACATTCTAAGATTGGTTAAGTAAGATCAGCCACTAGACAGCTACATGAACTATTGTGGAATAATTAATAATAAAATAAAATAAAATAAAAGAAGAATTTATAAAACAACCAAATCAATCAAAGAAACAAATCAAAAATTAAGGCCATAGAAATGGACTATTGGAGCCGATGTTGCCGGCTCACTGGACTTTAGAGGGTGAGGAACGTAGACATTAGGAATTAAACTAGGTATTATAGACCCTATCAAAGCCAAAAACTAAACTGGTATGAATATCTGTAGAGAATGTCTGAAAATTAATCACCAAAAAAATAGAAAAATAGACTTTACCCAGAAGAAAACGAGGTAGACCAAGACGGTTCTGGAGAGAATATGTCGAAGATGAAATAGCCACCAGATATTTAAAACTGAAGATTTCTTCGACAGCAAACACTGGAAATTAGGATGCGTGAAACGGCATCAACTGTAGGGACTCTCCTTTTATATATAAAATTCTTTACTTTTGAACCCCGTACTAATTATTCTCTACTGCGTAAGTAGATGATTTTTGTTTACTGTAACACCTTCAAGCCAACGCTTCATTCTTTAACTTCGTGACAAATAAAATAAATAGAACGCAAGAAATACAAGTCTTTACAGTAGCTACAGTAACACTAAGAGCAATACAAGAAAACTTAGAATACTGAGCGTGGTGTGAGTAAATTTAGCGATACGCTCAATTAATTAATTTTCTGTGTTAAATATTCCTCTTTTTATGTTATACAACCCTATAATCATCTCAAACTCTCCAGATACATCGCACAGCCAGACAATTTTCTCCGAACTACGCGTCAATAAGAAGCGGTACGACAAATCGAGGTCATTCGATTGTTAATAGACTTGGAGCGAATGGTGGTATCTACCTAACAAAATATTAACTAAACACATTTAATACATTTTATTAGGGCTACAAGCGAAGGCTTTGCGGAGCACTGGGGCTGTGCGGTGAGAGGTTGTTTTGATTTATTTATCTGATAACTAAAGTAGCAATATATTTTAGACAACTTATTTATCTTGTACCTTGTGTATATTCTAATTGAACAAAAATCGTTTTATTAAATGCACGTTTAATTTTCTACACAAATTATCCTTTTTTACTACACTAATATCTGTGTATTATTTACAGAATCTTAAAGATCAAATTCTTACAACAAACGTCTGGTTAGAGCACGTGAGTACCAATATTATTTATTAACTTTGCAGACATTGTAAAGATGAAATCCTTTTCGAGTTTATAGAACGTAGTGTGTGACTTTGACAGACTTTTCGAAAACCCGTAAACCAATATGTCATTACACAACCAATACCGTGAAAGCCTAGTAGATTTAACTTATATATGTTTACACTTTTTTAGGAATGGCAGGATCACAAATTTATGTGGGATCCACAAGAATATGGAGGTGTAACTGAATTGTATGTACCATCCGAACATATTTGGTTGCCGGATATAGTGCTTTATAATAAGTAAGTTTTAACATTTTTGGTAGCAAAAACAGTATTTGATATTTTACTGTGAAAAATTCATATACTTATATCAAAAATTCTTCTTTTTGATATAAGTCAGCATTTCATGCACCTTCTTCTTGTAGTGCCTATCCGTTTCGGATGTTGGCGACCATCATGGCAATCTAAAAAGATTTGTAGTTGTTATGTTGAACCACGTTCGTAGATTTTTCAGTCAGGAAATCCTTCGCCTTCCTGGTCCCCGTTTTCCTTCTACTTTTCCCTTCAAGATTAGTTGCAGCAGTCTATATCTTTCGCTGTTCCTCATGATGTGACCGAGGTATTCGATTTTTGCTGATTTTTTTGTGGTTAATAGCTCTTTTTCTTTTTTCGTTCTCAACAGAACAACCTCATTAGTAACGTGGTCGGTATACGATATCTTCAGGATGCGACGATAAAGCCACATTTCAAAAGCCTCAATTTTCTTGCAGGTGGCGTCTGTGAGAGTCCATGACTCAACTCCGTACAACATTATAGGAAAGATGTAACATCGTAGTAACCTGATTTTTATGGGCATTGATAAATCATGACATTTGAATAACTTAGAGATTTTTTGAAATGCAGATCGTACTTTCTCTATTGTACATTTGATTTCTATGAAATGGTCCCAATTTTCATTGACGTTCGTACCAAGGTAGGTGTATGTTTTTACTCTTTCTATTTGTTGACCGTTTACACTGATTTGTCCAAATTGCTGTTCCTTCTTAGAGATCATCATGCATTGTGTTTTCTTAGTGTTTAGTGAAAATCCGTATCTCTGACTAACCTCTGTGATTCTGTTCATTAACTCCTGGAGGGTTTCAGAACTGTCAGCGAATACTACCGTGTCGTCCGCGTATCTAATGTTATTGATAGATTCTCCGTTGATTCGAATTCCGGCTTCAATATCACCCACTGCTTCTTGAAAGATTTCCTCAGAGTATATGTTAAACAGCAGTGGTGATAGTATACATCCCTGACGGACGCCACGTTTGGTTTTAATATCGTCGGATTCTCCTGCCACTGTCCGGATAGATGATGTTTGATATCAGTACAGATTGCTGACAATTCTTAAATCACAGGTGTTTATTCCAATATTGATTAATATCTCCATCAGCTTGTCGTGCTTTACTGTATCGAACGCTTTATGGTAGTCAATGAACATAAATGTCGCAGTTCACGTCTCTACATCGTTGAAATAGCACTTGTATACTAAAGAGAGCCTCTCTCGTACCCACTGCATTCCGAAAACCAAACTGTGTACGGCTGTTTTTTTCTTCGCGCAGGCTATATATCCTTTGATGTATGATTTTTAGAAATAATTTTAGAATATGACTCATTAAGCTGATGGTTCGGAAATCACTGCAGGATACGGATTTTGTTTTCTTTGGTAAAGCAATAAAGGTCGACTTCAGCCATGTTCTTGGTATTACTCCGCTTAAATATATGTCATGCACCTTAGGAACATTTAAATAGTTGTCAATTATTGAAGTGGTAGTAGAAAAGATGTTCAATCCTTACAAAGTTTTCGATTGTCTATCAAAGGACGGTGTTAATATTTAAACTAGTATAAAATATGACTATTGATTTATTTTATCGGGATATCGATATCTTTATTATTTGTGATAATATACTCAAGACTGACTGGACTGTGGCATTTGGAATTCTGTGTAAGACACTAACTTTTAAGAAGATCAATCAGTATCTGCAGATATCCTTTAGACTTTCTCAAGACTATAATATCTATCAAATTCATACCTTATGTTGTAGTGGCAATTTCATTGATTGTGATTTCCTCTGGCGTAATTCATTTCTGTCGTCATTGAAAATTCTGCACTTGAATACACAGTGCTCAGTCGTATCAGATACTCTACATTTCTATGCAGTTTCCATCCGCTACCTTGCCTATTCTTTCTAAATATGCCCTGAAAGAGCCGTGCCCTGATAGGAACTGGGTGAAAAAGTAGTTAATGTCACTGGCGCTGCATTTTATTTAGTCTGCAATATTTAGAATTAATACCCTCGTCCATGCCACCCTATGCTCCTTTGCCCATTCTTCGTTTTACTTCAGTATACTACTATTTCTAGCTACTATTTTCTTCTCCTCGTCCTTCCCGTTGATTTCCGCCCTTTCCTTTGCCATCAGGTAGAAAAGTAACACCCCTGCGCTCACTTGTATGGCCACCGTTGATGTTGTTCTGTATGCACGTGATATCCTTAACAGTGCTTTTCTTTGGGCTTTTTCTGGCATTTTCCTATATTTCTAGATGTTAAGCACTTGTTCATCACTGATTCAGGTGACCTGTCCAACCTAGTTCCATTTCAGTGTGGCAATTAGGAAAATTACATCAGTAACTTCTGTTCTTTATCTTAAGTCTTCATTTCTTCTCAGCATTAACCTTTTTATTTTCCTCTGAGCTATTTGCAGCGCCTTAGAAGTTGTAACTGTCAATATCAAAGTTTCGGCACTATAGGTCATCACAGGCAACACACATTGGTCAAATTATTTACGTTTTAAAAAAAATGGTATATGGCTTTTAAAAATGTCTTTGAGTTTTCCATAGGCTGCCCATACTAGGTTTATTCTCCTTCGTAGTTTGCATATTTGGTTATCTCTTGTGATCGTATTACGTGTCCAAGATATATGTATTTTTTCATCAGCTCTACTTCGTTGTCTCTAACATTGATATTTCCTCTAGATACTAGGTTTGTTATGGATTTTTATGTTTATTTATGGAGATGTTTATTTGAACACCCACACTAGCCCACACTAACTGAATTTTATGCAGCATTGTACATATCTTCTTGAGGTTATCCGAGAACATAACTATGTCGTCTGCGAATTTCAAATTTGTTAATCTTCTACTGACAATGTTTAGGCCTTTCTCTTCCCAGTTTTTAATAAGAATATTCATTTGAGTGTAGGTGATCATCTGTTCCAAATCCGGTATCAAATCCCGCTTGCTCTATTGGCTGGTAGAAATCAAGATTTTTCCCAAGACGATTCATTACTATTCTTGTAAAAGTTTGTATATGTGACTAAGAAGACTTATAGATCTACAAGGAATCTACGTTCCTGTAGTTGGCTGTATACCATGTATTAAAAATTTAATTAAAAATCCTTTGTAATAGGTATATTTTAGGCCCAAACGGGCTAAGTTAAAAAGACAAAACGTTTTCGGAAACCATGTTCCATCATCAGTGTCCTAGAAAATAGTTAACCACTTAATTAAAAAGAACAAAGGTTAAAATTTTGACTAAGGTTAAAGAACAATTTGGTTAATACTTACTAGGAGTACATGAATGAAGCCACCAAGATTAAATATGTGGGTAAAAACCCGATTACATATGTTTAATTACATTTAGTTTTAAAATAATGTTGTAATGATATAGGATTACAGAGTTACCGATGGATTTGGTAACATGGCGACATATGACTCCACGTTGAAGTTGCTAGTCCTGAGACGGTATGTCTATGAGGACTGTATGAGTGCAACTGATTGGCAATGACATTTGATGACAATATTGTTAAGTTATGACGGAAATAATCACAGAGCAATCAATGTAGCTGTATGTTTCTACTTAAGAAACGTTGGCTTTTGTCTTAAGTAGAAACATACAGCTACATTGACTGCTCTGTGATTATTTCCGTCATAACTTAACAATATTGTCATCAAATGTCATTGCCAATCAGTTGCACTCATACAGTCCTCGTAGACATACCGTCTCAGGACTAGCAACTTCAACGTGGAGTCATATGTCGCCATGTTACCAAATACATCGGTAACTCTGTAATCTTATATCATTACAACATTATTTTAAAACTAAATGTAATTAAACATATGTAATCGGGTTTTTACCCACATATTTAATCTTGGTGGCTTCATTCATGTACTCCTAGTAAGTATTAACCACATTGTTCTTTAACCTTAGTCAAAATTTTAACCTTTGTTCTTTTTAATTAAGTGGTTAACTATTTTCTAGGACACTGATGATGGAACATGGTTTCCGAAAACGTTTTGTCTTTTTAACTTAGCCCGTTTGGGCCTAAAATATACCTATTACAAAGGATTTTTAATTAAACTTATAGATCTGTAGTTTTTTAATTTAGGGCTAGTTTTATTTGGTCTATTGTGATTTCCAGTAGTAGTTCTGATCCTTGGTTAACAATGCCCTTCTTCCTTGTTATATATCTGGTATTTGGTACTTTTTGGTACTTCTACCGTCTCTGAAAGAATAAATTGCTTGAAAGGAGGCCAAGGTTAGATAAAAGGGGTAGAGGAAGACCCCTTACTCGTTGGACTGACGATCTCAAGAAAATGTCTAGAAATTGGATGAAAGATAGATAGCTCAAGATAGAGCACAATGGACAAAAATGAGCGAGGCCTATGTCCAGCAGTGGACGCAAAGGGCTGGAGGATGATGATGATGATGATGATGATGATAGAGCACTTGTTACCACAAAGAGTATAGTAGAGTTGGCCACTTCCATTAAAATTTTTATTTTTTGATAGATGAGTAAACATTTTCTTTGTAATATAATTTATTATTATTCCTTATGATTAATAACTTTTTAGTGCTGATGGGGAATACGTGGTTACTACGATGACTAAAGCGGTCCTGAGGCATACTGGTAAAGTACTTTGGACACCCCCAGCCATCTTTAAGTCTTCCTGCGAAATAGATGTGAGATATTTTCCATTCGATCAACAGACTTGCTTCATGAAATTTGGATCATGGACCTATGACGGAAATCAAGTAGGTGCCGTTCTTAGGATATTATATTTTGAGGGCAATATTTACAAATATGATTAATCTTTTTTGTCTAATCAAATTTATTAATCATGTATCAAGTGACGATTAAGAAGTAGTGGTGAAGGCGCTCAGTTAATATGAACTGGCGCATTCGCCAATTTTCAGACTTCTATTTCATTTTTGTAATATATTATGTCTTCTTCTATAATGTTGTGTTATTTTTTTAGATTGATCTAAAACATATTAACCAAAAAGTCGGTGAAGATAAAGTTGAAGTTGGTATCGACTTAAGGGAGTATTATCCTAGCGTAGAATGGGATATTCTTGGAGTTCCAGCGGAGAGACACGAAAGATATTATCCATGCTGTGCTGAACCGTATCCTGGTAGGTAACAAATCTAATTTTATAATTTTCGAAAATTGGACATTGACATAAAAAATTGTGCATTTCCGATGCGCGCCACGTAGCGAAGCCGTAGCGAAGCCATAGTGAAACATAACAGAACGTTTTTGTTTTTTTTTTTTTTTGGTTTATATGACGCTAGTGTTTTTCTTGAACCAAACTTAAATGTACTAGAGCCAATAGATCGTTCTTAATTGTTAGAATAATATGCAGGAATTTCTCTTATATTTACTTTTATTGTTCTCAAGAGAGTTAAACAATTTTCCTACAAGCTTATACCAAGATCATCGCTGGTGTACCAATTGTCGGTAGTAACATTTCTTTTAGATCCGTAGAGATACTGACAGGCCCGTTTCGCAACTGCCTTGGTACTAATATCTTGATAATATGGACCACCCACTTGGTTTTTGCCAACATATAAGTACTTCCATGTTACTGGTATAAACTAACTTCGCATCAGACAGTGCAAATATTTTTATACAGTTTCTATTGGGCTTGCTTGGTATGTACTGGCGAAATGAGCACCGTCATCTAAAAGCCTCCAACTCTTTGTCCACGGTTACGTTTTTCGAATGGGAGAAATATTTTTCTGATTTTCGTTCCACTTGGTAATAAGACGATGCTTATGGGCGCTAATTTATTAAAACTAACTCTATCATGCATTATATTGATATCATCAGTTCGCATCTACCTTAGTCAATTTCTGAATCTCGTGTGTTCATTGCCATTCGGAAAACCTATATAACAGTGCCGTCCGTTTTCTTCAAGTCTGTTGTATTCAGGGGGCTTTCCTTTTTTACACCTGCAAGATATTTTTCTTCTTATTTCAGTGCCTATTCGTTTCCGAATATTGGCAATCATTCTGGCTATAATTATTTTATTAACTGCTGCTTTAAATAAATTTGTTGTTGTTGTGGAGAACCATTTCCTCAGGTTCTTCAATCATGATATTGTCCTTCTCCCAATTCCTCGCTTTCCGAATACTTTACCCTGTAGGATTACCTTCAGTAATCTGTATTTAGTGCTGTTTCTCATTATATGTCCGAGATATTCCAACTTTCTCCTTTTAATGGTATACATCACCTCTCTTTCTTTGCCCACTCTTCGTAATACGGTCTCGTTGGTTATCTCGTCTGTCAGGATTCAACTCCGTAATACAGTATTGAGTAGATATAACATCGTAGGAGCTTTACTTTTATCTCCAGATTAAGATTGTGGCTTTTAAAGAGTTTGGCCATGTTATTGAATGCACTCCTAGCCTTCTCTATTCTACATTTTATTTCCTGTGAGTGATCCCATTGTTCATTTACTGTTGTTCCAAGATAGTTATACTATTTTACTCGGTCCACTGGTGTATTATTGATAAGTAGTTGAGTGTCTCTAACTTTATTTTTGCTGATGATCATAAATTTAGTTTTTGTTATATTTACTTGAAGTCCAAATCTTTCACTTACTTCATTTACTTTGTTTATTAGTTGCTATAAACTGTTCAAACTGTCTGCAAAAATAACGGTGTCATCTGCCTAACGGATATTGTTTAGGCGTTCTCCATTTAGAAGTATTCCATGTTCGCATTTTTCCAAGGCTTCACTAAATATTTCCTCTGAATATAGATTAAATAATATAGGTGAAAGTATACAACCTTGTCTAACGCCTCGTAGAATCTGGATCATTTCCGTTGGTTCACCTCCAAAATTCGTTCTTATTGTGGCTGATTGGTTCCAGTATAAATTTTGTATTATACGCCGATCTTTATCATCCATTTGGGCTTTTGTTAGAATATCCATCATTTTTTGGTGTTGAACTGTATCAAATGCTTTTTGGTGGTCCACAAAGCAGGTGTAAATATCGCAAGTCATATCTCTGCATCTTTGAAATAATACTTGTAGACTAAACAGTGCATCTCTTGTACCTACGCCTTTCATGAATCCAAACTGTGTGTCTTGTATTCTCTCTTCGCATAGCTTGTATATTCTACGATGTATAATTTTAAGAAAAAGTTTTAATGTATGGCTCATTAGACTTATTAGCCTATATTCTCCGCACTTTTTTGCTCCCTGTTTCTTTGGTAAGGTAATAAATTCTGATAGTAGCCAATCTTTTGGGATATTGCCTGTGTCATAGATATTATTGAAGATTTTACATAGTACTCTTAAAGATGCATCATCAAGAAGTTTAAGAAATTCAGATTGTACTCCGTCTGGTCCTGGAGCTCTACCTTCTTTTAGTGATATTATGGCTGCTCTTATTTCTGCCACTAGTATAGGTGGTCCTGTTTCCGTAGGTATTGGGGGCTGGTTCTCTCTCTCATCAAAAAATAAATTTCTTATGTAATTTTTCCAGGTATCATTGATACTCTCTTTGTCCACGATTATCTCTCCATTGTCATTAACAAGTTTACTTACTCTTCTGTTTTTACATTTACCTGTAATTTCTCTTACCTTCTTATGCACGTTGAAGTCGTCGTATTTACTTTGGAGAATTTCGATTTCTTGGCATTTTTTCTCCAGTTCTTTCTGTTTGGCTTCTCTGATCTTTCTCTGTATCTCTCGCTGTAATGTTTTATACATGGAGTTATCGTTCTTGTTTTTCCTTCGTTCTTCCATTAGTTGCAGAATCTCTGTCGTCATACATGTCTTATTCTTACCTTCTTCGTTCTTCATAAAATTGTCTTTAATGTCGTCTATTGTTTTCTTAAGGGATTCTATCTTATCTTCTGTGCTTTCCGTTGTACTTTCCGCAAGATATAAGAGACCTAAAAGAGCACGCATTTCATCATTGTTTGTTATACTTTACTTCTGCTTTTCTGCTTCTATTTTTGTATTGGTTCCATCAACAATTATTTTCAACATATCAGTATCAAATAGATTGTTCCAGATATCTAAAATATCGGATTTCTATCTGACACATTGTTTTGAACCCGGAAGCTGCAGAACAATATTTTCAGTTCGAGTTTTGACGTTTTTAGGGGCAATATGCTTAGCAAATTTTGTTTTATCTCTGTCCAAAAAATATTAACCAATGACAAAATATGTTTCATTATCTAATTATTCATTTTCCTGTTCCATATCGCTTTCCCTGAGGTTTTCTTCTACATGATCTTCTTCTCCCGGATCCATTTCACCATCATACTTCTCTAGACGCACATGGTCCACTGTGCCGGTTTTAGAAATTACAAACTTACAGTTTGAGCATGAGCACTGCAATGATACACGGTCGATAAATATACCTATCAAAATAAGGTACAAAGCCATAAAAACTCGAAAACTTGGGTTGAAAACTCTATAGAAGTGATTAAATTACTAATTCAATATATAAATTAACCTAAAATATATCAGAAATCTCTATGATGGACAAAATTGATAACCAAAAATGTTATAAGGATCTGTCATTACAAACAAATAACTGATGTATTACCTTGAATTTATATATTATGTAACTATTATTTTAACATTTTTTCAGATATATTCTTCAACATAACTTTAAGAAGAAAAACTCTATTCTACACAGTCAACCTTATAGTACCTTGCGTAGGAATATCTTATCTCTCAGTGCTGGTGTTTTACTTACCTGCAGACTCAGGCGAAAAAATTGCTTTATGTATTAACATCCTCCTCTCCCAAACCATGTTTTTCCTTCTTATTTCTGAAATTATTCCCTCAACATCCCTCGCCCTCCCACTTTTAGGTAAATACATTCTCTTCACCATGGTAATGGTAGCCTTTTTCGGTAGTTATCACTATTATATTATCCTAAATGTACACTATCGGAAACCCAGTACACATAGAATGGCGCCTTGGGTACGAAGTTTTTTCATCAAGAGCGTACCGAAGTTACTATTGATGAGAGTACCGAAAGATCTTTTGACAGAACTGGCGGCAAACAAGATTCCATTGAACCGAATGTCACTAAAAAAGAGGGAGCTCGATATAATGCCTTCGAGTAGATCATCGTCGTCGAGCACTTCTAGTTCTTCGATGAATAGAGTTAGTGGATGTAATGGACTTCATTCCAGTACTACTACAGCTAGGTAAGCTACAGATCAAAGGTAATTTAAATTTTCTTCAATAGTCAGTTATATTTCTTATAACACATTTAAACTTGTATTTTAAAATATTTCTCTTAAATAAAAACTTCTTCCTTTTCAAATTATTATTTCATTTTTTGTAGGTTACGAGGTTTTGCAGGAACTTTAAGCGAACGCCTTGGTTACAATGGTCTGCCTTCCGTTTTTTCAGGTTTAGATGAAAGCGATTCTGGGACTCGTAAAAAATATCCATTTGAACTGGAAAAAGCAATTCATAATGTAATGTTTATCCAACATCATATCCAGAGGCAGGATCAGTTCAACGCAGTAAGTAAAAAGCTATAGTCATAAAGTAAAAATGTTCAAGAAGTCACAAAAAATAGTATTATTGTTATAATAAAAATTCTTTAAATTTTCTGTCAGAATTTGATCTTCAGATCAACTTAAGACCTCCAAAATTACTGGTTTTCAAATATTCCGATAATATTTGTATTACTAATCTAAAAATCAGTTAGTGCTTAATATTTTTGAATACTTTTGAATATTTTTAATGAAATATTTAACTGTCTAATATGCAAAATCGTAAAAATGATCAGATTAAATTGATATAAGGTTGAATGCTCGAATAAATGAACTTTGATCAAATGAAAAGGCAGATATCGAGCACAATTTATTAATTAAATCTTGCCCAAGTACTTTTGCTTCCTAGAACATCTTCAGGGGCATTTCGTCAATTTTGGCCTATCCAACAATCTGTTGAGAATGTCATAAATATAAAATTGTACATTACACTTAGGCTAGGCGCATACACATCGAATTTTGGACGAATTTCGATGACGTTTTTTAATCCACAAAGGTTTGTTAGGTGGAGTACACAAAATCACAATGAGCAACACAGACTCACGTAGCAACACGCAGCGACGTACTTGAGCAGTGTCAAAAAATGCAACTGGTCCTCTGGTCGGTCGATAAAGATCAATGTGTGTGCGCGCGTTCATTTGATACTATAAGCCTTGGAACGACGGCAACGACCACGGCAGCCGTGAATGCAGTGACATTCATCTATCGCCACATGACCATCATACGACATCGATGCCGTGCCGTTTGGCGATCGATGTGTGTGCCCGCTCACATTTGTTTCTTCGCGCCACCAAAGGAATTTGTTCGATCGAACTTTTATCGACCGTCCAAATTCGATGTGTGTGCGCTTAGCGTTACCTTAAATACGCTCGAAGGCAGCCAGTACTGAAGAAATCATAGAGGGATATTTTAATATTTTAAAAATAATACTTGAAAATATTGAACCTCAAAATATCCTAAATTATGATGAAACAAATTGGTAACTAAAAATATGTATTTCGACGTGGAAGAAAATACCCGGAAAGATACATGAATGGCACTAAAAGCGCAGTGTCTCTAATGTTTGCAGCTACCGCAACAGAACAACGCCTACCACTGTATGTCATTTATAAAGCTGAAAGATTATATGATAGATGGATAAACGGGTGGTCCCCCTCGTACATTGTTTAATATAACAAAATATGCATGGTTTGATGCATATCAATTTTCCAAGACTTGTTTTTTTAAGTTGTTTTACCGTGGTCAAACGGGATAACAGAATAGAATAGAATAGAATTTATTTAATCAATATACAAAAATAGTTTTGTTTTTGACAAGTCAAAGGAATAGTGACAATACTTATAAAACATATAAAATTTTTTTGGATAATTTAAACATTACAAACATGTATGTATTTAATATTAACAGTTAAAAAAAAACGACAAACACACTTTGAGGAATTATAAAAAAACATGAAATATAATTGTAATAGGAAATTGCTTTGATCAAACTAGTACTATTGTGTAAAAGCTGTACTTAAGTACTCCGTTTTTGAATAGAAACAATGTTTCAAAAAGTGTGATTTGATTTTATGCTTAAATGATAACAAGTGAAGACTTTTTACTTCATCTGGCAAAAAGTTATACAAACTAACGTCAGTCGAATTTTTTACGCTCTTTGTCAACCTAAAACGTTGTGCTCTAATAGCATCTCTAGATCTTGTATCGTGATCATGGACGTTGGAGTTTACGTTAAACTTACCTTTGTTGGCATGAATTTCAATCAGCGTCTCATATATATATAGAGTGAAGGTAGTGGCATAATACCTAAATCCAGAAATAAAGGTTTACAGTGTTCCCTATACTCTGCTCTTGCAAGTATCCTCACTACTCTTTTTTGTAATTTAAAAATTCGATCTGCGTAAGAAGAATTACCCCAAACAGTTATTCCGTACTGTAAATGGCTATGAAATAGTGCAAAGTAGCACATTCTAAGGGTATTTTTAGGAATCATATAAACTAAGTTGCGTATTAAAATATACTTGTAGCAAGTCTAGAACTTAAGTAATCTATATGAGCACTCCAATCCAAATTATCGTCTATAAAGATTCCTAATAGTTTAACACTATTTCTTAAGATATACTTCCAATCAGAACTAAAAATCAAATTCTGATTTTTCTCTTCATTTAGCATTAGCCCATTATGTGAGAACCAGTTTTTTGCTTTCTTGGTATCACTGTCTATTTTAATTTTTAAATTATTCTGATTAATATCAGTATTTATGAGAGTTGTATCATCTGCGAAGCAAACACATTTTATAGGAAAAGTGTAGTGAAATAAATCGTTCAGATAAATAAGAAACAAAGTGGGTCCTAATATCGAACCTTGAGGTACACCATATTCGACAGTGTTAAACTCAGAATAGCTGTTATTAAGAAAAACTGCCTGTTTTCTATTTGTTAGGTATGATCTAAATAGATTAAGAGTGTTTCCCCTAATACCGTACTTATGCATTTTTTCCAACAGTAATTCATGCGAAACACAGTCAAAAGCTTTGGATAAGTCACACAATGTCAAAGACACAAAATGACCTTCCTCCAAGCCATCAACTATATCTCTCACAATTTTCTGTATAGCTAGTGTAGTGCTACACTTTTTTCTAAAGCCATATTGGTTACAGTGAAGTATTTTGTGTTTTTCTAGATATTCTACCAAACGAACATTTAGAATACTCTCAAAAATTTTGCCGAAAATGGGAATGATTGAGATGGGACGGTAATTTCCAATTTCATCTAAAGCTCCCTTTTTGAACACTGGTAGCACTTTTGTTACTTTTAAAACATCTGGGAAAATCCCCTCAGTAAGACAATTATTATAAAGTATAATTAATTTGTCAATAATAATATCGATTGTTTCCACAATTTTTTTTTTTTTGTAAGAAATAAAAATCCGTGCAGTGTGAATTTTTCAATCTATGCAAAACATTCCTGATTTCAGTATCACTAACAGGTAATAAAAATAAAGAATTGCAAGGAGAGTGTACATCTTTCAAAAAATCTATGGCTACATTTTCATTTGTAGAATTAAAAGAACTTCTAATATGTTTAGCCACTGAAGTAAAGTAATTATTGAAATCGTTTGATGTAATCGCGCTTGGACAGACTTTTTTATTTTGAAATTTATTTCTGTGATAATTTATAACTTTCCAACTATCACGAGATATATTTTCAGAATTGGAAAAAAAAATTTCATAAGCCAGTTTTTTCTTTAATGATATTGTTGATTTATAGTGCTTCTTAAATTTTTTATACTCACTATATTCCTTTGTAACATCAGCAATTATCTTGACTGTGGAAAGATTTTTTCGCATTTCTATTAATTCATCATCAAACCAAGAAATTGGAGCTTTACTACGAGTTCGTGATTTTTTTAATGGAAAATTAATTTCAGTTAACTTAACATACATTTCGGTAATAAATTGAGCTAATTCTGTTGCTGTTTTGAGAGAAACAACTGAAGCCCAGTCAACGTTGTTTAACGACTGTTTTAACATCCGGATGCCATTACTTGTTATATGTCTTCTGTATAGATTAGCACTATGTTTTTTTTCAGATTTTATTTTTAAGTAGAGAAATTGTGCATGATGATCAGAAATACACGGGTCCACAATTCCACAACCAACTATCTCACTGCTTATGTTTGTTAAGATGTTATCTAAACAAGTTGCTGATCTAGTTGTGATTCTAGTAAATTCATTAATATTTATGGTTAATCCAAAAGTAGAAATTAGATCACGGAAACTGTTTAATTCATTAGAAGCTTTTTTAAAATCAATGAACTGTTACTAAAATAGTTTTAATATCTGTAATTTCTAATGCACAAAATTCACCCTCAAATTCACATGATATATCATTTAAGCAAATTGGTCGTGTAGGGATTTTATTATCGCTAAAAATTACAACACCTCCATGTTCCCTTACCTTCCCACAATAAAAAGTTGACAAAAAAATACCCACCGAGCTTTAATGTTGTTAATTCATTTTCTCTGAGCCAGTGTTCAGAGAAACATAATATATTGTATCTTTTATTTTTCAAAAAAATATTAAGCTGATCTATTTTGTTTAATAAACTTTGTGTGTTTACATGTAAAATATTAACTAGACTAATCTGGTCAGAGTTTGCTAAAGTTTTTGGTTTAATATAAGATACAACACCTAACCTAACCTTACAGTACCAAGGTTTTGATTAGGGACAACTTGTCCTTACATCTGAATATTGAGATAATAAAGGCTTGTTAAAGGGCAAATAGAAGGTATGTCTTTCTGCCACCCAATTCTACAGTACTTACACAACCACTTAATGTTGTATTTTTTCGGGCTTTAAAAAGAGCCTGGAAAAAGATCCTTACTGATTTAATAACTAGTCAACCTAACTTAAATTCAGTTAAAAAACCATCTTTTTTTAATTGCTAACTTTCAAAAAAATCTTCAAAGTTCATTTCGCGCAACTTAAATTTGTCCCTTTGGCCCATATGAAGTGCTAAAAAAATATGTCGAATTTGCGAATTTGCGAAAGATGCGAGATTTGCGAAAAGATTAAGCTCTGAAACTGATAATGCATTATTTAATTTTTTTCAACAAAAAAAGAAAGGGAATACCATTAAAAAAGGAAAAAAAAGTGGCTGAATACTGAACCCGGTCATCATCATCATCTTTGGCTCGACAATCCTCTGTGGATCTTGGCCTGCTCTAAGATTCGTCGCCGTTCTGTTCGGTTTTTGGCTGACTGAACCCGGTCAATCAGTTCAATTTGAAGAATTTAATCAGTTCAATTTGAAGAATTTAATCAGAATCAAGAGGGAATTGGGACCAAGGATTTAGAAGGAGAAATAGAGCTGGCGACGAATGACGACGAAAATTTAGCAGAAGAAATGGAGATGGATATAAATAATAGTGACGATGATAATGGTGAGAAGGCAGATGAATTACATGAAGAAGAGCACGATGAAGTGGTTGAAAATATAGAATCAGATGAAAATATCGAAGTAGATGGAAATAATCGAAAAATTGGTACTTTGTGGTGTTCAAATTTCCTATAAAAAAACCGTTAAACATTTCATCGGGATTATAGTAGAAATAAATGACGACAATGCATACTACTACGTAAAATTTTTAAGAAAAAATGTAAATAGTTTTGTTTATCCAAACACATCAGGCATATCGGACGTTAATTTAGAAGACATTAGAAAAATATTGAAGGAATATTCGAAAATTAGAAGAGGATATTTTTCTTTTAAAGAAAATTTAAGCTGTTTTCAATTATAATTTGTTTTATGTTTTTTTTTAATAAAAGTGTAATATTTTTTCTTGTATTTTTCTAATAAAAGTTTTTTAATAAAAAACTCTAAAAAAAATAGAAATATAATAGAAAAATAATTTGCGATATGCAGACGATGCAGTACTCCTAGCTTCTAGTCAAAAATATCTGCAAACACTACTTGTGCACTAAAATCGTTTACCTTGGACAACAATTAAATTGTAACGCAGAAAGTCACGGCGAAATTAGATACAGGATAGAGCAGGCTAGAACTGCTTTTAGAAGGATGTCCAAGGTGTTATGTAACAAAGACCTAAAATTGGCATTGAGGATCCGCCTACTTCGCTGCTACATATTCTCGGTCTTACTTTATGATGTCGAGTCCTGGACTGTGAATAAAATAGATCTAAATCGCCTTAAGGCTTTCGAAATGTGGTGCTATAGAAGAATTTTAAAAGTTTCCTGGGTGGAGAAGATTCGAAACTCTACAATACTAGAACGTCTCAGCAAGACTACTGAGATCATAAAAAGTATCAAGCAGAGAAAGCTGGAATATTTCGGACATGTAATGAGAGGTCCCAAATATAGGTTGTTACAAAATATCATGCAAGGAAAAATAGCAGGCAAACGCAGTCCAGGACGAAGAAGAACCTCATGGTTGAAGAACTTGCGAGATTGATATGGTGTTGACACAAGCATGCTATTGAGGATGGCAGTGAATAAAATTAAGATAGTTATGATGGTAACCAACGGTCTGAAAGGACATGGTACATAAAGAAGAAGAAGAAGAAAAATAGAGCTTTTTAGTTCTATTTTGATTAAAAAATAAAATTTAAAAAATATATCGTGGGTAAAGCAGTCAAATGCAAACAAATGCCGTAGGCAAAGTAGTCCTATTACGTGTCAATTTTGCCGTACAGTGAAATTAGATAGGTGAAAATTGGATAGATGTTGAACTTTTTTGGGGCAACTTTCTTACCTTGTATTTTTTTTTCTCGGTTGTGTTAAAGATTGTGATAAAAAATGGTATGAAAAAGTACATTTTTTGTTTATATTTCGTAAGTTTTCAAAATAAGTTTGTATTTATATGTGCTAAAAAAAGAAATATTTAAATAAAACTGAAGTTTGCTTTGCAAAGTAGGCCATGTATACGAAATAAAAAGGTTTGGTGATAGTGTGTCACCCTGTACCTCTTTGAATTTTTATTTCGTTACTGTTTTCGTGTAACTTTATTACATTTGCTGCATTTCTATAAATATTGTACTTATACTAATCTGGAACAAAGCTAACTTGAATTTAATGCTTACATTTATTTAGAACAGTCACATCTTGGACTAGTTCCATATTAATGTAGCGAGATTAAATAAAACGAGCGGTTCGAATTTATATAAATATATTTATTTATAACGTTACAGTTCGGTATTCTCTTATCAACTAACTTAACTCCTAATTTCGTTACATTTATATACCAAAGTATTATGTTTGAGTATATTCGGGAGTAGTCCCACCTCTAATTCGTTATTTGACGGGTGGAATTTTACAGTGCTCGATATATCGCCGAAACTTCTCGGTGCTTCGAGATGCGACCGTTAGGCGGGCCACGCTGAATGCATGTTCGTAACATTAATAACCACACATAAAATTAAAACGCTAAAGTTTTAATTTCCTTTCTGTAACTTTTATTTCAATACCATAAAAGATGTCTTTTTTGTTTTAGGAAGACCAAGACTGGGGCTTCGTAGCCATGGTCCTCGACAGACTGTTTCTTTGGATATTCATAATAGCTTCTATAGCTGGTACCATTTCTATATTATGCGAAGCTCCTGCGCTGTACGACGACACGAAGCCCATCGATATGGAGCTCTCCTCTGTAGCGCAGCAGCAGTTCCTACCCGATTTCGAAAATATGCAATAACTATCCTCGTCTAACTGTTAGAACCGTATATTCTCAATCAGTTCTGTTATTTAAAAAAGTCTGACACACTTTTTTATTTTTAAATTTATTTGTCGTCAGTCAGCCGGTGACCTTAACCATTCATATCACCTTAAACTTCATTTAATATCTTTAAGTTCGCCACCAATAATCTTCGCCTTAAGTTCGCCACTAATATTTTAATGTCATCAGTAAATCTAAATGATGGCTATCCTCGGTTTTCTTAATAGAATGTGAGTCTGTTTTTCATAAGTATAGCAGCAGTATGCAAAGTACAGGTTGCCATGATGGTCACCAACATCCGAAAGGGTAGACTATACAAGAAGAGAAGAAGAATACGTAATACCTGGGGTATAAATCCATAGCTAAATTATTGGCAAGATAAAAGAAACAGATGAAATATCTCAGAAGAATAGCAGGAATAACAAAATGAAGCAATATGAGCCGAATTAGAATAGGAACCCATGTTACATATAAAAGAGAATTACCAGCTAAATTGGTACGATCACATTTTCAGAATGGTTGGTAGTAGACTGATCAAATATCACATGTAAAGAAATAGAAGACCTCCAAAAAAAGCATGACAGCTTCAACCTGCATAAGAAACTTAAATATACTGCCGGAATTAGAAAACAGAAAAATGCTCACATACTTAAAAGCGCGGACGGAAAAATTTGTGATCACGAACAACAGTGCAAAGAATGGGAGAGATACATCACTGACCTTTTTGACGATGCTTCTAGGGAAAATGCTCCAAATACTGCCTATGACAACGAGTTGGACAGAGGTCCCAATATACTGAATTCGGAAGTCGAAAAGGCAATACAGCAAGCCAAAAACAATAAAGCACCTGGACCAGATCAAATCCCTGCCGAACTACTTAAACTTTTGGATGAGGAAAGCATTGCCTGCTTAACCACTTTCTTCAACAAAATTTACAACGAAGGAAAAATACCAAATGATTGGTTAGAGTCACTGTTTATAACATTACCAAAGAAAAGCAGGCCCACCAAATGCAGCGATTTTAGACTAATCAGTTCGATGAGTCACACACTGAAGATACTCTTACGAATTATACAAAACCGAGTATACCTTCTATGCGAAAGTAATATGGGTGATAAGCAATTTGGATTTAGAAACGGTCTAGGAACTAGAGAGGCACTATTCTGTATGCGCGTTCTATTACAAAAAAGTTGTGAATTCCGAAAGAATGTTTATGTTTGTTTCATTGACTTCGAGAAGGCGTTCGACAGAGTCCAACACAATACACTTTTCGACTGCCTACGGGCAGCAGGACTTGACCACTATGATATAAGACTGCTGAAATACTTATATTACAATCAAGTAGCCTCTATCCAAATTGGAGACAGTCCCACTGAAAAAATACCCATCAAACGTGGAGTACGACAGGGTTGTGTTTTGTCACCCACTCTTTTTAATCTGTACTCTCAAGAAATCGTTAGGGAGGCTTTGGATGACAGACAAGAGGGAGTAAGACTAGGTGGAGAAGTAATCAACAATATTAGATACGCTGACGATACAGCCATTCTTGCAGAAAGTTTACAAGATCTCCAAACATTACTAAATCTAGTCAGTGAAGCAAGTTATCGGAGAGGCCTAAAAATCAACATTTCAAAGACAAAGTGGATGGCAGTTGGAAAGATCCATATAGATCAAGGTCTGCTTTCTCTTAATGGAGAAGAGATAGAAAGGGTAAATCATTTCAAATACCTTGGCAGCTGGTTAAATGTAAATTGTGACTCTGATGAAGAGATAATATCCAGGATCGAATATCACGTAAGGCTTTTATGACCTGGAAACCAGTTTTATGCAACAGAAACCTGTCAATGAACATTCGTAAGAAGGTCCTGAAATGTTATGTGTGGTCGATCCTATTGTATGGTTGTGAGACATGGACGTTAAAAACCACAATGCTAAACAAGTTAGAAGCATTCGAAATGTGGTGCTATAGACGAATCCTAAAGATATCGTGGGTTTCGCACACTTCCAATGAAGATGTTCTTCAAATGATCAACTCAGAACGTCTGCTCATAAACATCATAAAGAGGAGAAAAACAGAATACTTCGGCCATATAATTAGAGGACCCAAATACCATTTACTTCGCCTTATAATACAAGGAAAAGTGGAAGGAAAGAGATGGATTGGTCGAAAGAAACTTTCATGGCTGCGTAATATTAGACAATGGTGTGGTTTCACAGTAGAAGAATTATTTCGCGCAGCAGCCGACAGAGAAAGGTTTCAGGAAATTGTAAGCATGATGACGACCAACGTCTGAATACGGACACGGCACCCAAAGAAGAAGAAGAAGACTGATCAAAAGGGTATACGAAGCAAAACGAACAAGAAGTAGATGAAAAGGAAGACCCAGGAAAATATGGAGCCAACAAATATTCAAATATTCTGAGAAAATGAAAGAATGAAGCAGTTGAGGAAATGGTTCAAAAGTTGACAAAATTTAACACAGACACAGACAAGATGTCACAAAAGAAGAAAAATCTTTTTTTGTTTGCCAATTCGTTGTTTTTTTCGAGGAGGTTATATCTGTAGTTTTTATCAAATTTTGAGGCTTTTTTAGTGTACTGTGAACACATAAGAAATTTAGACGATTACATTTCTTTTTAATTCAAGCTCCACCATTATTCTACACGTGTTTCGAGCTATTCAGCTCTCATCAGGAACACTTATGATAGCTTCGACTCAAATGAGTTACTCTTAATTTTTTGGCTGTTATAGTAACATAATATACCTGAGTGCGCTAGTAGCGACCTCTATATAAAACAACAATAAGTCTTCTTTTCGATGAAGAAGTAGAAGAACTGCAAATCCAAGATTACTGAAATCTATTGGACAATGTTAGGAATAACCTTTTATTCCGAAAATCCGTTCTCTGCGTAAAGACTGCAAAAGATGGTGTTTGTCAAGGGTGAACTGTAGATATATTGTCGAAATCGTCCAATAGCTTCAAGTAATCTTGGATTTACCGTTCACCTAATTCTCTTTCGAAGAGAAGTATCCTGGCACTTGGGTCTAGGGATCCCACCTTAAATTTTTACCTTTATCATGCGAGCTGCGCGATGCTCCATTACGCATATTATGATTTTAAAACCCTTCTTTTATAAACCCTCCAAAATTTAGGTAAATATAAATTACAATTTCTTAATAATACATTTTATCAAACAAAGTGGATAATTGTTTCGTGACTTCAAGAAATAATAAATTGACAATTTATTTGACAACTACTAGATATAAGCTAGATATTTAATAAACCAATTATAATCTTTCATTTATGCAGTCTTATCGAAATTATGATTAAAATGGTAACCAGCAAATCTCATAAATAAAAAATTTATTCAAACACTTATTAAACAACTAATTCTTAATTTAAAAGAAAATTTTATCCTTCATATCATTCATAATATATTATCTTAATTTCCAAAATTCTTTCTTTCCTCTGGCAAAAAGTCTATTTCTTGTTTTCTTTGACAAACATTGAGTACTTCTACTGTTTTTTTGTGTGTTTCTTTACATTTTATTCCCACTACTAGGTAAATAGCAAAATCTTTTACAATGAAACTTACTTTATTAAACTCCTTTTTTGTTAGCGTAGGTGCAAAATTTCGGTCCAATGTTTTTTAAATGTATTTTTGATAAACAAAAAAGTATTTTTGAAAAATTTAAACGCAGAATGAAAGATTGCATTATTATTGAGGGCCGAAAAGTCGCTGAAAACTTCTATACTGTTTATTTTAGTAAGTTACAGGGGTGAAAAATAAGAGAAAATTAAGTGTGATTTTTAATTTCAAATATCTCATTTAAAAGAAACTTTTTATTAATCTAAGGGACTTTCGGCCCTCAGTAATAATGCAAGCTTTCATTCTGCGTATAAATTTTTCAAAAATATTTATTAGTTTTCTCAGGATTCGAAAAAAAATGAATGCATTTAAAAAACATTGGACCGAAATTTTGCGCCTAAGCTCTTAATTTAAATATAATGTTTATATGGGATTAGCCACAATTTATTGGTTGTAATGAAAATCACATTTTAACCAAAGTTTGACGTTTTGAAATAGTTCTCAAAATATTTATAGAAATTTTGAACAACCTAAGAAAACGACCGAGGATGGACCAAGGTTACTATAGCTTAGGAGAAAATGTCAAAATCTTAAAATCATCTGCGTAATGGTGCATAGCGCATCTCGCATGGTAAAGGTAAAAATTTACGGTGTGATCTCTAGATCCTTGTTATCCTGGCTTCTAGTTACAGCTAAACATATTTAACTGCAACGGTGATGACTTGACACGACCAGAAACGACAGACGTTGGTTAATGCGCTGTTGCCTAATCGAATATTATTTAAGAGGTTGTCCATTGAACTGTAATATTATTACTTGGTAATTACTGTAATGAGTTTATAATTATATTTATTATCAGAACAAAGTTAAAATGTTTGAGGTAATTGATAAAAATATGTTATTTACTGAAGTTATTAGTCATAATCATTAAAATAAGCTGAATAAACGGAAGTCTATTAAATTAGAAAGCTAAATTTGTTTCATATTGAAAATTGAAATATATAGTTAAAATAAATTTAAATTGTTTCGAACGGTTGTAGAAATAAGCTTATAAAAATAGATTCTCTTAGAACCTCTTAGTTTTTAATATGAAAATTCAACAAACAATAACTATTTCACGAATTACGAAGAATCTGACAGCGCAGCAAACACACTAAAATTTATGTTCAATGTTAAGTATATAGATGTTTATGCTTCGGGTGCTTGCATATAACTGATTATTGGCTCCTTCCATTATCGATGAAGTGACCTTGAACGTTGCAGTTATATCAGTTAAGTTATACTTTATATACGAAATTTATTCTGTTAGATTGCTGGCCTTGCCAGAATAGGACTGATTTTTGACATATTCTAGTCTGTTAGTCTAGGCTCTTTACTTATTGATATACATATGTAATTAACTGTTACCAGACGTTTTTTAAATAACAAACTTATTGAGAACTAAAATTATAGTACTCATCGTATTTACGAATTGAACTAAGTCTGTAATAATGTGATGAAATATTGACGAATAATGTTACATAGATAATAAAAAGATTCTAAATCAAATATCATCAACAACATCTCTTAACCAAAATTGACTTGTATGGCTATCAGTTTAAATTATGTATTATCATTATTTACTTTTTAAAGACTGTTTCATCTTAACTTTAATTTTATTATAAATAAGAATACAAATAAGAGTTTTCCGAACATCAGAAGTATGGTAAAGTGAGTCAAAGATCATTTAAAAAGCTTGATCAATATCACACTTACACTTTTTCAATAGTTTTTGCAAATACTTTATCGATATAGCTGCTGGGCCTTATGAAAACTGTGTTTCTAATGAACTATTTTCTTAAGTATTTCATAATATAAGCACACAATTTTCCAAAAATAGAAATATTTTGAAATAAGCAAGGCTCAAGAAAAAAATAAATAAGCCTATAAGTAAACATCCAGTTCTATTATTAAATCTTTAGTTGTAGGAAAATTTTTGAATAAAAAAGCAGTCTCTAGCCACGTTTCCCATCTTGTCAAAATGGGTCGTGGAGGCAACGAGAAAAGGCAAGAACTTTCAAAATTTGTTTTAACATAATTTACCAATTTATTTACTATTGGAAATTGACCCTTAAGCTGTTCAGTGACTCTATTAATACCATGTGCAACACACGTTACATGAAAATCATCACTTTACTTTTTTTTTATTTTGTCATAGTTTTAGCATGTAAGGCACAGCATCCGTTACAAAAAGAACACATTTTTTTAGCAGGAACCGTCTGCAAAAATGAATAATAAGAATACAACATAGCGCATAAAAAGAATAGGAAAATAAATCTAATTCCCACCTTCCCTTAATTACTTAATTTAGAGGAAAGTATATAAAATCCTGCTAAAACACATCATCAATGGGTCCCGGACAGAGAGATTATTATGATTATATCTTTTGTATAGCTCTTTTGCCCTTAAGGAGCCTTAGCTTCCCTTAAAAGATTTTTTCAACTTTTCATGTCCAGTCTTCTCCATGACCATGAGAAACCAGTGCGAGTCCATAACTGCACAGGTGATTAGGACGAGCCTTCAGCATCTAAATCGGATGCTGAGAACACAGAACTGGTCAGTGTTAGGCTGAAAAATTGAGAAGGGGGGCCAGCTACTTGTCTGTTCTGTAGATGAAGGATCTTTCAAATATCTAAAGAAGAACTACAGAGCTTACTATGGGCATAATAGCGTAACTTTCAGAGATCTGCAACTCATGAAAGATGACTTGCAGATGACCAGCTACTGATCTATTCTATAGATGAAGGAGGTCTTAGAAATCTGAAGAACTATACAGTTTACTATGGACTTAATAGCGTAACTTTCAGAGATCTGCAACTCATGAAACATGACTTGCAGATGACTAGCTACTGGTCTTTTCTATAGATGAAGAATCTTTAAGAAATCTGAAAGAGAACTACAAAGTTTACTATGGACTTAATGGTAAGTACTTAATAAAGTTGTCTAAGGGTAGTTCAGATTAACTTACAATACAGCAAGGCAGCTTCAGCAGTTTTAGTAGCGCCTAGAAGGACATTGAATATTGCACTTGAACATCAGCCTTGGGTAAGTCAAAGGAATGTCAAAGGTTTAGGGGCGAGAAATGAAGAACTGATCTACAGTTGATCTGCTAAGTTCCCCGGACTTGTGTGGTTACCAAAAAGGGGATAGAGATACTGCCGTTAAATAATGTTTGTTCCAGGGACCTAACGGCAGTAAGAGTCAAGTAAGGTGAGAGAAGTGGACCGGCCCTTGGCTCGACCTATCTTCCTATAAAATGGATTAGTAAACTTAAATTTTTGTGGTTTTTTTTGTATAAACTACCTAATAGAGATAATCATACATTGAACACAGAAACTAAAAATAGTACAAGAAAATATTTAAAAATTAGAAAGGTACTTTTATTTCATTCGGTAGTTTATGGTATCTATTTTACTTTTAGTTTTTCTTAATGAAAATCTCCTCCACTTCCTTAAGAACAATCCAATACATAGCAATAAATAATTAGAGCACCGTGATAATTTCTAAATATTGCTAAAAACCTGGAAAATTTAATTGAGGTGTATAAAATTTTGTCAATATTTCTTCAATCAAATGTATTAATTCTAAATGAATAATAATCATTTTTCTGATTATTAACTGTTTAATAAATAAACATTATTAAGTTTAATTCAAGTTTTATTTTTGTGGGGTTGTTAGACTACCATCCGGTGTTCCCCCTGGTGGGTGATAACTGAATTCTTTCCAGATATGGGTGGCATCGAGAAAATATAGAATCAAAACTAACATCATCGTGGCATCAGACCCATGATGCGGACCCCTAGTAAGGAAAGCAAATGGAAATAATTTAACTCATTACCTGTCTATTAAATCACAATGCATAATAGATCTGCTCTTTGTATAGATAGAGCATTTACAAAGCCAAAAAAACTGTGAATATGAACTAAAAACTAAAAGAGTTTCCAGTAGAGCATAAAATAACATGGGTTTCCCCAGAAAGGAAACGAAAAATCAAATAGACCATGTGTTAATTGAAGAAAGACACAATATATCATTAACTGACTGTAGAAGCTCCAAAGGTGCAGCCAGGGACAGTTGCCATATGTTAACAGCTGTCAAAATCAAAAAGACCTAAAAGCTCTATTTCCAAGATAAAACAACTAAAGAAAGAAATATATAAGAAATTTGGAAAGAATGATATATTCAAGCAGTCGATAGAGAGGTGACAGAATTATGCACTGTGAGAAGAGAGAAGACTGGTTTCATGTAGACTACAAGCGAGCCCTAGTAACAAAGCAGAGATACTTGCTTATAGATAAAAAAACTCATATAACTCGTAATTATATACATTTTAAAGCAGAAAACTTTAAAATAATATTGTCAATAAAGCAATAGAAAAGCTTTTAGTCTTTCATGTATTACATGAAGTTGAATCTTGCTTGAATGGGATATTAGGGTTACCGTTCTGTAGTTGCTGTAATCTAGCGGAGTTCCTTTTTTGAATATAGGGATGAAAGTGGATATTATCCAGTCGTTGCGCCACTCTCCGGTTTCCCAAATCTTTTTGCAGATCATATGCATAACATTTACTCCAACATCTCCAGTTTCTTTTAAAACTTCTGCGGTGAACTGGTCTGTGCCAGGACATTTTCTATTATTTAACTTTTTAATTGCTTTTTCTACCTCTGACTTTAGAATGTTTGTTTCTGTCTCTGCAGTGAACTTGTCGTGATTTGCTTTCTGGGGATTATCTGCATATAGACTTTTATAATATTTTGTCCATACCTCTATTAAAATCTATAATCTACAATATATCTTCAAATTCAAGAATTGGAGGGGGGGGTAGAGGTAAAAATAATTACACAAAACGAATAATCTGACAATAATTTTTTATTGTAAAATAAATATTGAGTCTTACATTGTATTGTGATGAGCCTCTAAACTACAAACATAAACAGCAGAAGACAAATTTATTAAAAGTGTAATATGTCAATTGAACAATCAACTTTTTTGTTGAGGATCGGCTGTTTCCTTAAGATTTCTATTATTAATTCTCTTTTTCTTTGTAGTTGTACAACTCTGTCATCCATTAAACTCCAGCTTCCCTACAATATCTCGCACTACTTGTAATAAATTGGAGTGACTGCTGCTGTTTTCCAAGAGTATTGAGTGGAGATTTGTCATATAATTATCAATATTTTGTATGGTTGCAACATCTTTGATACCTAAAAGAAATAGATATCTTAGTATAAGGATTCAAAATTTTAATGATAGTTAAAAAGCAATCAACCTCGAAGGATGTCATTAGCGATTGCTCCCAAAAAACTGTTGTTTTACAAGTTAATCTTAAATAATAGTTATATAATAATAGTCTCTAATAATTTATAAAGTAATATCAAGATATACATAATTAGTACAATGTATATGAAGATCCTTTCCTTTTTGAAAAAACAATTTGTTTGTTTGTAAATTGCAATAACTGCAATAAGAGGTTTATAGCTTTAGTTTTTATCTTTCAAACAAAAACTTGAAGCTATTAGGACAAATTGATAGTGACAGATAAGCAATTAGCATCTACCAGTGACGTGACTTATCTTTATTAAAGGGTTTACGGTAACCATTCTGATGAATATTCAAAATTCAACAGCACCAATAAAAAAGATCACCAATAAATGTATGGCGTCGGATAAAGATGATCGCGACAGCGAGAGCGAAAAAACCAAGTTTACTTTTTGCAAAACTAAGAAAATAAGCACAATAATATGTGTAAAGTGTGGAAAAGCGTTCCATAAATCACGCATGGCACGGGATTGGGCCAAAAAACTTCAATTTTAGATGAACACGTGTGATTTGTTGTGATTCTAACATAACCATAAATAGTGGGAATGGCATGAAAATACAATCATTCATCTGCTGAATGAACTAATTTGTGAGTTAAAAAGTAAAAATCAAATCCTAGAGGAAAATAATAAGCTGCAATGGGAAAAATAGAAAGCATAGAGAAAAAGTTACCAAAAGATTCCTTTGAGGTAAAAACTGCTTCAAAAACTAAGAATAAAAATAACAATCCATCCATTTTAAAAGAACAAAATGATGTGAAAGAGACTACAAGGTCAGTTGGCGCAGTCACAGAACAGCCACTTTGTTCTGTTGATTTGTCTGAGCTCTTACCTAAACCAATAATATCAAACAGTTCAATTGCACCCGTGACGCTCATTAAAGATATCAATCGTCAGCTAATTGAAGATGAAAATGATAAATGGGAAACCCAAAAAAGAGGTTTTTACAAAACAACTCGTTTAACACTTATTGAACAACCAGGTCCACTCCAGGGAACTAATAAGAATGCTGGAAGTATCCTGTGTGTGGCCACAAAACATATGGCGATTTTTTCTGTCAGGTTTCGATCCAAAAAGGAAGCTCAAGAAATATTTAACTATCCAAAAGAAAGAAAACTGGATGAAAACGTTATCAGCGAAAAAATGAAAACCAGGACAGATAAGTACAAAAGTTCATTTAAAATTACTGTTCCAGAACTAAAAATACCTCATTTAATGAAGCACGAATTATGGCCGAACGGTGTAATTTTTAACCATTTTCAGAATGTACAGAGACACACCACTGTCGAAAGACAGTCTACGGCACACACCAAAAGAAATGATCAGTAATCCACTTAAATATGCAATCAATTAAAACAAGTATTGATGCAATAATTTTATCCTAGAAGATCATGATGAATGCTTTGCTCTTTGTTTAACTGAGCACTGGAAAACAGAAGAACAACTGGGGACTACCATGTGCGGAATTTTAAACTGATCTCTTCATATTGTAGAAGCAGTTCACAGGAGCATGGTGATAGTGCGGTATACATCAAAGGCACGTTTATTGCAAAAGCCCGGAAGATATTTCTAGTTTATCAGAAAGAACAGTGTTTAAGTGTTCCGCTGCAGAGGTGCGAATTAATAAGAAGAATGTAATCCTATCCATCTACCGAACAAAAGACCCACAAGTTTTAATAAACAAATTAGACCAAATACTTTATGATTTAGTTGACAAGGAGTCCATAATTTTTCTGGCTGGTGATTTTAGGTTAGATATGCTGCTTGAGGGTGCGAGGTGGCCAGACACATTAAAATGTTTTTGATCTCCTTTGATATTAAACCTTCCATCAAAGACTATGCACGCATATAAGGTAACAAAAAATCCCAAATAATATTTTTAACGAATATTGAGCAAGAAGAATAAACATTTTTTTAAATTCATGTTAGGTAATATGTAGACTGGGTATCTGTTTTTGAGACATTAGAGGTAGATAATCAGTGGGATGCTTTTATGAATATACATCAGAAAATTTTGTTACAATGTTTTCAACTCAAAAAAAATACAGCAAATAAAACAAAATCACAAAAGTACTTTAAAAATGATGACATAAAACATTGTAAATCTAGGCTTGATGTTTTGTTTACACTGTACCAATACTGTCAATTATAAAGATATTTACATGATAGAAAAACGCAAATACAATTCTTTACTGACTCAATCTCGGAAAAATTGTTATAAAGAACGAATTGAAAATAGCGAAAATAAAACTAAAATGACTTGGCAATTGGTAAAAAGAGATTAAGGGTAATTTCAAAATCAAGTAATTTCTATTTCGAGGGTGACCCTCAGGTGCTTTCTAACGAAATAAATCAATTTATTTTGTTATTATCAGACAACATAGATTTTGAATCCGTCAGGATTACTATTTGTTGATCAGTAACTAAAAATTAATAAAAAGCATTTCATTACTTACCTGGTAATACAGTACCGCCAAATCCATCAATTAAGGTGTTCTTCAAATGATTTAAATGTTTATTAAGAGACAGATTATTTTTTTCTTGTTGTATTAATTCGAATTCTAATTTCGATATAGCCATCTTCATATTTTCTATATGCTTTGAAAGTATGGCATTTTGCTGTTCAAAATCTGTGTTTATTTTTCTTAGCTGTCTTAATTCCGTATCCCTTGTTTTGTTGTGGTCAAGAAATTCTTCAGTAAAAATAGGAATATCAAAATTACCATAGTCTATGTCTTGTTGATCTTTATTTAAACCTGGATGACTATTGTAAGCCTAAAAATATTTCCGAAAATATTGTAAAACATTGTTCATGATTGTAACACTAATGAAAATATTTTATCAACAACAATTCTTCTGATATAGTAAACAATTGCTCAAAAATAAGTTATGTTTATTATGACCAATCACATCCAATATAGATTAGAGCATTTATCAAAACTGTACACCAAAGAATATCATAGATTAGCATCATAAAGGATGCAAGAAGGATTCCAAGATTAACTCACTCAAAAGTTGCCTCAGCAAGTCTGCCTCGGGTCATGATGTAAATTGAGTATTTCAGCTCAACCTGTCTACTCCAACTGTGGATAAAGTAACGAGTATTGAGCTATACATTGGCAGCCTAGTCTTAATAAAAAATTACTAATGCCAAACTTCTGACACAGAGTCTTAAAATAGAACAAATTCCAATACAAAAATTTAAAAGATAAGAAAATGGAAGGAAAAAACTAAGAATGGACCTAATAGTTGCTACCATTATAAAGGTCTGTATAAGAAGGGAATGGCCAAGAAGATTGGACATGTGGAATAGATGAAGAAATAAGAGACAGACTACTGAAAGATACTAGCTGTAATATTGGCGATCAGGTATAGTAAAATGTAGAATACCACAAAAACTATAGATATATTAAAATAAACTTACTAGATTAGGTATTTTAACAATATCTTCTTTTTCTTTAACCTCTTTAATTTTCTTTCATTCTGTTGTTGCGTAAATATCTTGTAGGCTTCAGTTTGTTTATATGCATTATATTCCTTTGTATAGCGTTCTCGATCTTGTTCTGCTGCATCCAAATATTGCTGTTTTTTATTGACTGGCAAATTGCTCCATTCGCTAGCTAACATTTTAGTTATATCTGCAAATGTTAAGTTTGGATTTGTGCTTCTTACAGCTTCTCTTCGATCATTTAAATATCTCACGTAACCTACAAATTAAAACAAATATATGACAAGAAATATTTTTACTTCAGTTAAATTGAAAAAGAACATGAAAATTTTGAAAATATTAACTGGTTTCAACTATTTCACTAAGGGACCTTTCATAGGTATATTTTTGAATCTAGCATTATTTAAGTTACCTAATATAATGAAACTGTCCATTTTTATTACATTTGCTAAACTACATTCATTTTACATATTCCCAATTGTCAACATACGCACATGAAAGCCAAACAGGGTCGTACTGATGTGTATCATATGATTCTTAAAAATATTTACTTTTGAAACTATTAGTGTAAGAATTTCTTGATATTTAATCATTAAATCACAATTAAACTAAACTCTAAAATAACAAGACCAGTAAATAACTTAACAATAACTGTAACATAAATATAATACACAATATATTAGCTTAAAAACCAATACCATACAATTTTAATTTTAACATTCTCACAAGTTTGGATCTGTAACATGAGAATCTGTCTGGCTTAAGTTGGCAATAAATTATATTTAATAGCCTCTTGACCAATGAAAAGGCGAATATCAACACATGCTTTTATTGATAGTTGGGAATTTGCTGAACAAATGAACTTAAACTATTTTTTTTTAGGTGATTTGTAGAGATTAATAATTATCTGTTGCTTGAATTCTTCCAAGTTCATAAGTTTCGTTAAAAAATAGATGTTCTGTTGCACAATTCAATAAAAATAAAATGAAGGGAGTAAAGATACAAAGACTGGTCATTAAATATGCCTCGGCACTCAATCCATAGACCAGGAAATTTGTTGTCTTAATATTGTCTGAAATCTTGCTTAAAACAAGGATCTTAGTCAACATTGTTATTTTCTATAGCAGCTACGATATCAGGAATAACAGTTTCTTCCAAAAACAAGTATACTAATGGGGTAAGAATTCCGTTCACATAAAAAGGACTCAATATTGTTTTTCTTATATATTTCCAAATGTTTTTTATTTTGTACAAGGCGTTTCGCTAATAAATGGTGTTTTTCACTGTTTTATTTCTTTTCTGAAACATGAATGATAGAAGTAACGACTGAGTTTCAATTAAATGTTCTATGTCTATAATTTCAAAAATCTATAACCTCTAGTCTCATTCATCTTCATTAAGTTTTTGTATTATTCAGCTTATATTGCTTGTAGGGCAATTGTGTTGAAAACTTTCAACTTTGAACTGCTCAATTTTAACTAAATGATAACAAGATCTTAGAGTGCCCTTTACACTATAAGTTGTAGCGATTTTTAGCACATTTCTTACATAACTAGGAGAAACTGGCCAATTTGTAAGAGATTCATTGAACACTATAGCTTCCTATGATAATTCCGGTAAGGTTTACCATGGAAAAAGCTGTTTTCACTGTATATTCATTGTACACTTACCAGTAAGAGGCACTCTAGGTGCAGTACTATCTTTGGGCTTCTTACGTTTTTTCGCTTTCAATACCTTAGGTTTTAGAGTGTTTTCTGGGTTTTCTATAATTTTAGAATTAGTTGAAGCACTTAATTCCACTGAATTTGATGGCTCTGTAATCATAGCATTTGAAACATCTTCCATTACTTCCAATATTTTTGTGTATAAACTCGAAATCACGAAAATTGTATCTTCAATCAAATGTCAAAAAATACAAAATACTTTTCTTTTCAACTTTTCACTGTTTTCACGATTTCATTTGTGTCTACTCCTCTGTCCACACGCCACAATGTAAAATACAGTAAAAAAAAAAATATAAATTCGGAATTTCGGATATTCCGAATCGAAATTCTGAACCGCAGCTTTTACAATAAGCCGAGAGATGGACTTAGACAAATTACTCACGTTTTTAAATTTAATTTTAAAAATATTAAAAGGAATACATCATAATATTTACTTAAAATATAAATTTATGTATGTATGTTATTATTATTTAAAAAAATCAACTGACAATAAATAAACTACATTTTGACTCCAGGTTAAATGATCAGAAGCAAGATCAGTTTCACAATAATTGATAGCATCGTAGCGGCACAGAATAAAAATAACAATTGTATCTTATTCTGTAGTAAATCAACAAAATTTTTAATCACAGAAAAGTCCTGATTATTCTGTTTCCTGATCCTGTCGTTATATAAGTCCTGTTCTGTGTTTTTTATAAGTCTTTTTTCTATGCTAGAAAAATGTCAAATGTCAATGTCTAATAGAATCAAAAAGTGTTGTCTTGTCATAAAGTGTCATGAACATCTGCTAATCTGCTCACTTGTCAGCTTCTGGCTCTGGGTTTTTAATTGTCATTTTAGCTAAACAACTTGGGGAGGTTATCATATTCTTTGGAACCATTAACAATGTATCTAAAATTTTTTTATCTGTTTAGTATCCTTTTAGTAGTTATAAATGCAGCTAAATCGGAATTAAATAGTGAAGAAGACAATGACGCTTCTAGATATGTTCTAGAAGGACGAGTATTTCCTCTTACTGACTCCCAAAGTAAGCAGTTTAATTGGCAAGCTAATACAAGAATTCACGTAAATGGTGGCGAATATTTGGGATTTGTTAGGAGAGATGGTTCTTTTACTGTTCATAACGTACCAGCCGGATCTTATATTGTGGAAGTATTACATCCTGAGTTTACATTCGAACCTGCCAGAGTGGAAATAAATTCAAAGGGGAAATTTAGAGCTAGGAAAGTAAATCACATCAAGATTTCTGAAGTTATCATAGTGCCATATCCATTAAGAATGAAAGCATTAGGTAAAATACAACATAAATATATTTAGTTTATCTGTTTTGGGTTAGCTTTACTTTAGGAAGTATGTCTGATTATTATTAAATAATACTATGCATAATAAATTGTTGAGAAATAATTTGGTCATTGGTATTGCTATTTCATGCTAGTTTTCCAAAGTAGCAGTTAATATTTTATATTAATACAGTTTATTTGTTGTTTTAGGAAAAACACGTTATTTCCAATTGAGAGAACAATGGAGAATAACAGATCTCTTATTTAACCCGATGATCATGATGATGGTGCTACCTCTTCTCTTAGTCATGGTTTTGCCAAAGATGATGAATGACCCAGAAACGAAGAAAGAAATGGAGCAAATTCAAAACATGGCCAAATTTGAAATGTCTGATATGTTCTCAAATTACTTAGCTGGATCAACTACACCGCAGACTGACAAGGATAAAAACCAAGCTGTTAATAAAAAGAGTCAAAAGACTAGGAAACGAATAGAAAAATAAATTTAATAAATTACTATAGATGATTTTTTATTAGCAAATTGTGTTAGATATACAGTTTTTGTTTGTAAGTTTTTGTTAATTACATGAATAGGGTAACCATGATAAAATTAATTTCATTTGAAAAGAGCGAATTAAAATAGACCATTCTCCTATAAATGTCAAAAGCTTGACTGGTATTATAATGTATTCTTATTTAGACCAACGATCTTGAATTTGGATCATTGACAACAAGTTATTTTTGGTATTAAATATTTGTATTTAAAATCAGTTAATATATTTAAGTGACCTATATTTTGATCTTTTTTATTTCAAATGTGATAAACGAATAGACTGGATAATTGCTGAATTTCAAGAAATTGACAAAATCACAAAAAAGCACCTATTATATCTAAAAACAATATGGAAAGTTGATCTTGGACCAATAGATTCAAGCAGCACATGGAAAAGCTATGTATTGCTCTTTAATGACCATGAGAGAAACCAGACAATTTGTTAAGAAAGTCCTGGCCATGAAAATGTGCATTCAGAAGTTCTCAATTAAACTATTGATTCAAAAATATTATGACATGTTAAGTATGCTTCATAGATTATCAAAACATCTTCAACAATGCTATAGATCTATCTGCAGACACCTTCAATGTATATAAAGCAGTACTTCAAGGCTGCATATTGTCACCAGTACTGCCCTCCTAAGGAAAACCACAGCATCTACACTACTCATAATAATGAGTTAATGGACTTTAAAGAATCTGAAACTTTTAAAAAGTGAAAAAATTGTAACATCGATGCAGATTGAAATGATTTCACTTTATATCAATAAAACTGTAAATAAACTATGTTTTTTTAAAAAAGGGCAGTAGTTTATCCTAATTTTTCGCTTACCATGGCAGATACTGGGAAAAAATTATAAGTAATATTATGAATTGCTAAGTAAAACTACAGCATCTACTGATGTTATGATTATGCGGTGTTTTTTCTTAGTATAATGTCAAAGAAAACATAATTAAACAACAAAATTGGTTTTTGAATAATTTATTAAAACTGTCTATCTAATAATAAAACATATTTATTGGACAGGGTAAACAAAATTTAATACAAAAGGAAAAAATTTTAACACAAAAGAAATTATCTTAATCCTTATCTTCCTCAAGGTTTTGCCAAAATTGTAATCTATTTGAAGGCATTATGGTTTTCAAATTTTTAATAAGGGTTTCTTTTTTATTTTTTGATACTCCACATGGAGATGTAAATGCCTGAGGGCTGGGAAGTTTTTTCTTTAAAACTTCATTTTGAAGAAAATTCATTTCCAACACACTATCGGAGTTATTTATTAACTTGTACTTAAGATTAAATGATCCCCTGTTGGCAACAATTTCTGTTATTTTCGACAAGTAAGGTCGAGGCTCTATTTTTTTAATTTTTGCTTGTGACGTGAAATCTTGCCACTTAAAAAAATCTGTATACTGCATTGTTTTTATTGCAACCTTTTTTGAATTTGCATTTTCAACAGCTGTCACAAAATCGTTAAAATCGTAGGTTTTTTTTTGTTTTTTTAAAGATAGTTCCACCTGATGGTGGAAGCTATCGGCGGACATAAAGGTGTGCCCTGGTTCGAAATATTTAATACAAATATCTTGAGCAGATATATCGTCAGAATTTACAATATATACAAGGAAAGATAAAAAACTCCAATTTTTGTTTTGACTTGAGCAGTTATCAACCCAAAGAACAAAATGTTCAATATCCCTGTAATGTAAAAAGAAAGCATTATATGAGCTAATTATTTCTTCTTTTCCCCGTCGGCAATACCGTCATGCCATAGGCATGCAAATGTTTTTTGTTTTTTTCCTTTACCCAGGGGTACAAAGCTTTCATTGAATGTCGATATTCTTTGGGTAAATATTGCTTTTTTAAACATATCTATCCTTGGCAACATTATTACTTTTTGTAAGTCAACAGAGACTTTAAGGGTTGTTGATGTATATGGTTCATTTGTATCCAAACGATATAATTCTCTTGAATCGCTGGCACGTTGAATGTGTTCTTTCCAGCTATCACATTCACTACATGCTGGATTCAAGTTCTCAGAACAATTATGTTCTTTATTGTGTAGTTTGAATACTTCACACAATTCGCACTCTTCATGGCCCAGGTTTGTGAAAGATATGTTTTTATGTTTAAGATGCTTTCGATATACCTCATACGAGCATTGATTATGAGGGTAGGTTGCTAAATAATCTTGGTGCATGACCTCTATGGTTAAATCACTAGGCAGGTATCTACGGTACGGGGCGTGTTCACGCCTGTAATGGGATATACTGGGATTAAAACTTTCTATATGCGTATCAAGATTTAAAGTAGATATTTTGCTTTTACAAGCCGCCTTTCACGTCCATCTTTTTTAGGGCAGATAGGAGTAGACGATTGAAACACATTTTGCCTAACGAATGCTTGAATTGGCCAATCGTTTTTCTGGTGATAACCAAGTGTTGTTAAAAAAAAGCATTTACATACATATATTTTTTCTCCTGTCTCGTTTGTTAAAAAGTATTTAAACGTGTTTTTTCTTTGAGAAGATTCAGCTTCTACAGTTCTTCTTTTAATGTCTTTTCGTGACAAGGAATTAAGGACAAATGTTTTTTTCTCAATCCAATTTAGTTGCCAATACATGCTATTAATAGCACTTCTTCTTTCTTCCGATATTTTTTGTAAACATTTTAACTTACACTTTTGTATGTTGCAAGGTGGTTTTACTACATGCTTTTTTTGCGTTTCTATTTTCTTGCTTTCTTTTCTTTTTTCCAAACTATCCTCAATTTTTCGCCGTTTTCTTTTTTGTCCTTTTTTTGTGTAACCTTTGGATGAGCCTAGAAAAATAAAATGTTTAATTTCAATATTTGCTAGTTTTTTTTACTTGCCTTCAGAATTTAGCTCCGAAGGTGCTAACTTCGCTGTCAAGTTGAATTTGTGCTACTTCTACTTCTTCAGGCGGTTTATCCTGCAGTTGTTGTGAGTTCGGAATTATGTCTTCTTGTATGTTTTTATTTTCTATGTGTTCTATATCAACTGCTAAAACAAAATAAATGTTTTACCCTTGTTATTATTAAAATAAACAAAACAATGTACCTTCAGTAGTTACGGGGTATATAAAAAAATTAAAATATTTTGATTTAAAAATATTTTGATTATTTTTCTGACTTACCTTTATTATCTATCACATGGTCATGTTCAAGTTTTGGTACTTCTTGTATAATATTAATTTCTTGGTTATTCGTAATGTCTTCTAAAATATAAAATAATATTTTATAATTTGTTATTATAAGAACATACTAAAGGATATACCTTGTATATTTATGGACTTAACTTCTCTTATGCTATAACCTTCTAGTGTTTTGGAGGTATTATTTGAAATTGAGTTGACTTCTTGTGGTTCCAGATTAAGATATGTTATTTCAATATTATTGCTGGAATTTTCTTTCGGTTTAATCATAAAACTCTGGTCTAATCTAATAAATTTCTCATCATAAACATTTTTTACAGATTCTAGATCATTTGTCGTATTTAAACCAATTGTTGCTTGAGATAACAGAACATCTTGAAGTATTTGAACACATGGTTTTCTATTCTCTTTATCAATATTTTTCAGCTCTATTCCATCTTTTGTAAAAATGGAATGCTCTTCAAGTGGATCGTTACTGAAGTTTCTGTTTGGATCGCAGTAGTTTTGGAGGCAAGAGATGTTCTCCTTTTCTTTTTTAGACCAGTCAATATTTTGTAAAATGGTAAGGTTAGGTTCAGGCTGCTCAGCGCAAGGTTGTATTTGTACCTTTTGAGCCATGCTGACTAAAAGTTTACTTCTGTTAGACATCTGCCTGTAAAGGATTTCCTTTATTAGTTATATGTACAAGCAAATTTTAAATACCATAAATGCAGTTAAAAAGACTTTGGTCATTTAAATTATCATCTTTCAACTTTGTTTTACAAAAAATAAACATAAATTCATTGAAATTGATTAAAACATCTTATATTTTTTTCACTTATTTATAACACACTTGTAAAAAAGTATGTAAGGTAATCTATCCTAATCTCGACTACTTACCTTACTTGCTTTTCACCAGTAAAGAATTTACGTTGTTTCTTAATCAATTTGAAGACACAAATTAACACAACCGCACCATACAAAAGTTGAGAAGAAACTAAATAAATTAATAAATCGCGCCAATTACGTAGCAAAAACACCGCAATTGTGTATTACTTAGAATAAACACAGTAACTGCAGGCTCCGTCAAGTATATGCAGGGTTTTTCCTAAGCAGTGTTGTAGTTGCGGCGTTCTTCCTTAGTTTCACGCATTTTTTCGTATATGCTAGGTTTAGTAGTTCTTTCAGAATATATATTTGGGATTGTTAATACTGTATTTTTCTTAAGTAATTATGTAATATAAACTATCTAGATCTAATTTTCGCGCCTAACTAAATTTTCATAATTTTTGCACATGCGGTGTTATTCCTAAGGACGGCAGAGTATTTATTAATATATATATTTAGAACGGGTCATCCAAATTTTTCTGGAAGGAAGGTAGGGAATTAAAATTTATGGATGAATAATTCCAATATATGATATGCAGATGATACAGCAATTCTAGCACCAACTTAGGTAGTATTCAATGAATGTGAAGATTTTTTTTAAATATTCACTATGAAGAAAAGATATGCAATTACCAGATATTGAGAAAACTAATGTGAATATAGGAAAAAGCTAAACATGTAAATTTAATAGAGAGATTTTATGTAAAAAATGAATGGATTTGTGGATGTAACAAATTACCTGCTTTACAGTGTTTTTGCTGGCGGCAAGGTAGGCTGGCGATTGGTAGAATAAATAGATTAACAATCTAGACATGAAGATGTGAGCAGAAACACTTAGCAAAGCAATTTTAACTGTTATAGATCTTGTAATTCAAAATTAGCCTATCATACTGATTGCTCAAAGTTATGATTGAGTGGTCAAATAATAGGCGTTTGAGCAATAATTGAAAAAAATTATCACTTTGCTCGCTATGTACACTGATATAGCCACCATACAACTAGGAATTTTGAAAATTTGCAAGACATTAAACAAGATTGGGAACAGAAAGATCCCGGAAGTTTTCTCTTATTTTTTCACAATTTTAACCAATCTAAAGTCATTTGTTGATTGTACATTTAATGACTGTCTCATGTTTTAAATAACTCCTCAGAAAACATCTCAAGGAAAAGAGAAAGAAAAGAGCTCTAAAAAATGGCTTGAAACATGTCAAAATAATGTCAGAACTATTGAGGTTATGTAGGATATAATTTTGAATAAAATTTATATTCTAAAATAAATATTAATTAAATTCTATAAAATAATAAAATCACAAATTAACAAATTTATTGGTAATGTCTAGTGACAGTGATAATATAATAAACACAACACCTTTAAAGCAGGTAAAGTTGCGTAGAAGGAAAATCAAGAGGAATAAAAATATACATAATGTTGAAGATTACTTTTTAATATCTACAAGATCGCCAAAAGAAGTGATAAATAAACAATCGTTTCTACCTTTTAGAAGATTTAATAGTACTTATTTATATGTTGATATAGAACACATCTTAAAACTGCCAAAAACCAATTCAACTAATATTCACACAATAGGTTTAAATAAGTTTTGTTCTGAGAAAGGACATTACCTCACAATACATTGGATAAAAAGGAACGACATTTGTGTTTCTCTAAATTTTAAGAGTCTGAAAAAATTACCTAAAGACAATGAAATAATCTCAGTTTATGGTAGGTTGGAAGATGGGATTATAGTGGTTATGTTTTTTAAAGAACAAATAAAATCAAATGTTGTTCAACATACTCAGAATTTGAAAAAGTTGAAGCAGTTATTACCAAATAAAGTTCTAGAAAATAGATGACTAATTTTTATTGACAAATGGTACTAAATCTTACTGTTTAAAAATCAATTGTTTTGGTATTACACAGGGACTATAAGACGGCATGTAAACATTTATGTTTAAAATCGTTGATCATACAGAGAAACTAAAGAAAGAGGAAGTGTATGTCCAAAGACAGATAAGTTTAGTTTTAATAATTGTTGGAGGGAATAATCTGTGTAGTATTCACCTATTATCAATACATTTTTTAACAATATCTGCTAAATAAAGATTTTTTAATTATTGGTTACTTGTCTGTTTCTTTTTCCCTGCTATTCATCGTTTATCAATGTTGTTTATGTACAACTGATAAAAAAACAAATTCGAATACCAAAATTTAATGATGTGATTTAGAGTTTGCATTAGGTGATGTGATTGTTGAATTAAATATTTTATGTTAAAAAATTGTAGGAAGAACAAAACAGTGAAGACCTTTTATACAAGGTGTAGGGAAGTAGTACAAAGGATAACAATGCACTTGTAGAATATATCCATCAAAATTCTTTTGAAATTCCTGTGGAAACACAAGAAACATTCCAGAATCTCAAAGATATGTGTTTAAAATAATCTGGTTGAAAAAAACTGTACTGCTGCCCCAAATGCAAATTTTCTGACCTTCATTGTATGTCAAGTGATCAAAAAAGTAATTGTGACAGTTTATTATATAAAGAATTTGATACAAAACAAACAAGGAATTTGTTCAAGCCCTTGAACAAATTTTTAAGGGGTAATGTGACAAGAACAACACTGAAGATAATTTTTCTCAAGGGCATGAATGGTTTGCTAATGATTTGAAAGGTTTCTATATTTGTGCAATATGTAGCACCATGCCATATTGCAAGTCAGTGAAAAAAAATCTGAGAAAGGTTGAACTGGTCAGAAAAATTTCCAATGAAAAAGTCGCCAAGAAATTGTTTTAATTGAGAAACTAATATATCATTGGACCATAATGGCAAATTTAAACAAAGTGAGGGCTGCATTCAAAGCATGCACAGAATTCCAAATGTCATGCATTTTAATGACTTGTTAGCTGAATAAATAGCAAACTTGTATGCGAGCCAGTTCTCTAGTATCTATCGCTCCAAAGTTAATTAAGGTAACTCCAATTTTAAAGTAAAAAACTCTGTTGACATTCCATTTATCCATTTTTCACTTTTTGAAGACTTTGAGTCTATAAATGGTCTAAAGGATAAACTGAGTTATGGCCCTGATAATATTCCTACATATTTCTTAAAAAGATGTGTCTAAAGTCTATCCAAACCTTTACATGTATAATTAAATTATCTTTGAGATTACACACCTTCTCTAGTAATTGGCGTGATAGTTATACATATATAACTCCTGTATTTAAAAACGGTGACAGACAATATAAAAAATTATAGGCCTGTTGTTATGTTATCTGCCATCCCTAAACTTTTGGAACTAATTCTTAACAAATATCTTACTTAGCATTGTAGGAATCTCCTGATTAATGAGCAACATGGATTTAGGCAGTGTAAATCTACAAATCTTGTTTTGTATCATGATTACATTATCAGAGCTTTCGAGGATGGGTACCAAGTGGACTCCATCTATACTGATTTCTTGAAGGCCTTTGACACAGTAATCCATTCTTTACTCATCTTTAAGTTAAGATGTATTGGCTTTCCTGGGTGGTTTCTTTCATGGTTAAGTAGTTATCTTGATCACAGAATTCAGTTTGTTTTTATAAAGGGTTCACTTTCAATCCCTATCTTTGTCAGTTCAGGGTTCCACAAGGTTCACATGTGGGTCCTCTTCTCTTTAATTTGTTTATTAATGATATTTCTGAGGTAATAAAGGTTTGTCAGTTTTTGCTATTTGTTGATTATATTTTGCTGAGTTATATTTAAAAGTTTCAAATCTATCTGATTGTCTAAGGATCCAGGAAGACCTTATTTCCCTGTATAATTGGTCTCCAGTTAAATAAAGATAAGTGTTTTTTATATCCTTTAGCAAATCTAAAAATATGTTGTGTAAGACCTTGACTATCACATTTATACAAGCCTTCTATTAAGAGGGACTGAAATAAAAGATTTGGGAGTGTTATTTGACAGTTTCGTGTCATTTATCCCCCACATTAACAATTTGTCAAATAAAGTTTACCGAAATCTAGGTTTTATCAGAAGAAACTCTCAAGATCTTTCAGTACCCACATGTAGAATTTTATATCTTACTTTCGTCCATAGTATCCTGTCTTATGCTTCTATAGTATGGTCACCATACTATTTTAACCATATTCAAGCCTTGAAAAAATTCAAAATAAGTTTCTCTGGATTTGTGCTTATAGATTAAACTTAAGGAACATGTCTTTGGTAGAACTAAGGTCAAGGCTAAATATCAGTTCCTTAGAAGACTTCAGAACTAAATGTGATCTAGTTTTTCTCCATAAACTACTTGACTATACCACTAACTGTTCTGATTTATTAAGTCTTATCAACTTTAGATGTAACACTAGAATTCTTAGAGACATGCCTTTGTTTTCTATAAAACATTATCACACTAACTATGGCAAATTCTCTCCTATTAACAGAATTCAGATCCTGGGAAATGACTTTAGCCAATCTTATGATCTGGTGGATATAAAATCTGTAAGATTCAAGCACTGTTTGACTAAGTATGTTAGGAATCAAAGATGAGTGACATTTAACTTAAAGTATTCATTTCATTTTGAACATTTCATTTTATTACTATCTTCAGGAAATTTAATTTAATTTACATAATTTAATCATTTGTTTAACAATAATTATTTAATACCTTGTTTTAGTATGGACTTGTATTATGCTTAGCATATTTTATTTTTGTTAAATGCTGTAAAAATAAATAAATATTTAATATGTTCGGACATTTTTTGTTTTTTTTTTTTATTAGACATATTATAATGTCTTTTACTTTAAATTTAAAAATAAATTCCTTAATTTAATCTTTGTGGAATTATTAATTTTTGTAAAAATTGATATGCAGTTATATTAATTGGAGCAGGAACAAATTAAAGAACTTTACACATAATTGGATCAGTAATAAATAAAAGTCTTCACTGGTTAATAATTTATTTATTAGCGTGTGTATAAATGCAATTTAAAGGTGGTGATAATTTACTTTTCTGCACCTTTTTTCATACCATCTTTTTGTTTTTTCACCTTCTTAGAATCTTTTTCTAAATCGATTGGAGCGGGTTTCACAAATGGAATTTCATCTTGGTAATCTTCTGGCATGAAAGGTTTTAAGGCTGTTGGAACTCGTATGCCTGATTCCGTTTGATAGTTTTCTAAAATTGCACAGATTACTCTGGTTGTAGCGCACATAGTTGCATTTAACATGTGGACATAGTCTGTTACCGCATTCATCTTCTTGGTTTGACCATAACGCACTTGTAATCTTCTAGCTTGATATTCCAAACAATTGCTGCATGATACTAATTCTCTAAAAGCTCCTGATCCTGGAAACCATGCTTCTAAATCCAGTTTTTTAGCTGCAGCATGATTCAGTGCTCCTGAAACTATGTTTACAATTCTGAAAGGGATTTCCAAGGATTTATAAAAGTTTTCTGCATTTGCGATCATTTCGTCCATCATTTCCCATGACTTATTATCAAATGGTGAAGTAAGACAAAACTGTTCTACCTAAAAGAATAAAATAAACCATTTAGACTTAATACCAACAATAAGAATAGACAGCGAAATCATTTTTAAGATACATTACATACACCATCTTACCTTTTCAAATTGATGAACTCTAAAAATGCCTCTGGTATCACGACCATGGGATCCAACTTCTTGCCTAAAACATGTTGAATAGCCACAATATTTAATTGGTAGCATATTTTCCGCTATCCATTCATCTCTGTGGAAAGCAGCAATTGGTTGTTCCGATGTTGCTATTAGATACTTTTCTTCAATTTCTTTTTCTTCTGATTTTTCACTGCCTTTTCCTACTACCTTGTACAGTTCTTCGTCAAACTGAGAGAGCTGAGCAACTTCTTGCATGATCTATAAACAAATGTTTAATAAATAAGTAAATAAAAGCTAAAGAGCAACTTGGTCTACTTGAAAGAACGAAGTGGGAGACATATATGGTCCATACAAGAATAAAATGGCACTTGGAGAATTTGAAGAAATGGTAAATTCAATTGAATAATGGGCATAATATAAAACAGGCTGATATCAGGCATATATAACACATAAAAAAAGTGTATTCAACTTGTATGGTTATATTTACACAGAATTTGTGAGTCAAACATAGTTCATTTAGACAAAATGTGTTTTGATATGTATAATAATATGCATAATAATATCGAGTATGGTTGGGTTGACAGCATGAAAAATATATTATTCCAAAAATTAATATCAACAATAAAATAATAAATTTAAAAAGCCTCTGTGTTACTATAGTTAATGTTTCAAAACTTGTGATACTTTCAGATTGACATCCAAATATTTACACTGTAAAATATTAATATTGATATAAATATTTACCTCTTTCCTCATGAAAAAAGGTGTATATAATGGTTTATACCCTTTTTTATGTAATATTCGTAATGCTAATTGGATTATTGCCTGTTCTAAGAAAACAGCTGGACCGGTTAAATAATATCCTCTACCTCCTGAAACAACTGCTCCTCGTTCTCCATCCATACCTAAAAGTATTGACAAATAATATTAAATATGGAACATTATTGCAGTCATAACATGAAAAATTTTATTTTTACATACTCACCATCAATCATGTATATTAAATCAACATGTGAATATTTCTTTCGGCTTTCAAAATCTCCAAAGGTTCTCTCAACTTTGTTGTTGTCTTCATTGTCATCTACTGGAACAGACTCATGCAAATGATTTCCTACTTCTTTCAGGGCACTGTTCCTTTCAATTTCCACTCGTAATAAAGCTTCTTCGTTTGATTGTATAGCTTCATCTATTAATGTTTTTATCTAAAAATTAAAGCAAAAATTATTTCTGAGGTAAAAAAGCCTTAAAGTTGGGAAAAAATCCAAATTAAATACTTAGGACGATTTTCACATTTGGTCCCAATGAAGATAGCTTTTTTTTTGAACCAGACTATGTTGAGCATAATATTGAATCATAAAAATCTGATACCTTATTAGAGCTGTTAATTGACACAACTAATGCATGTGTGCAAGCTATAAATTGTCACCACATAAAAATCAATCAACCAGCAGCTTCTTTAACATTAGTTCCAAATAATGTTGCATTTAATTATATAGACCTTGGTATGAAATTTCAACTATTATACTAACAATAGAATGGATAACAATACTTTCCCAAATATAGGGATTTGTAATTGACAAATATGATTTATTATTTTATGTGTATTTCAGAACATTATGTTTAGTTTTACTTTACATTTCGATTAAAAATTTTAAATCATATCTTTCTTTATTAAATTTAATTTCATTTGTTATTTTTGAAACAATACCTTTATTCAATATAGACTGAATTATTGTCATGTTAGGCTACTAGATCTCAACCAAATCACTTTTAAGGAAAATTGCATCATTAATGATAAATATAAAACATATTACTATAACAAATAATTGCTTCAAACTAGCAAGGGTGCTATATAAAAGAAAGAAAATACATATAACTTTCGTGCAGGTGAATGTATGATAGCTACTCACCTTTTTTATCTGATTTACAGTGAGGGGCTGCATGCCCTGTAGATCTAAGTTTTCAAAACTAGCTATTATATTTTCTGGTAAACTTTCGGTAGGGCTTCCTTGGTCTTCCTTTTTCTTCATTTTTTCACCGATTGCTTTACTGCAAAGGTTCTTTAATTTATTCCAAGTATCGGCCTTATGTCTAAGACTTCTCCATGTGGTATCTTTTTCTATTACTGTGTCTATCAAAGCTACATCTTTAAATCGCTTTTTTTGATTTTCCTTTATTAAATCTGGATTACCACCCTTATCCTTTCTAAAAAGATCTATGTCCAATACCATTTTTCTTGCACTATTTTACACACCGCAAATAGGTTAACAATATACTGCAATACTGTGCAATAAGTGCAAAACAAGACTTTTGAGACTATTCGTTCGTTGTGCCATGTCAATGATGTGTAATGTCACTAATGTCAGTTATCGAAATGAAGTTAGCCAATAGCCACGGTTTTTTAAATAAGATAAAAAATCATAGGCGTAAGCACTTAAAAAATTTAAGGGTTTTAGTATAGTTGGTTCAATTTACAAAATATTTTTCATGATAAACATAGTCTTAGCCAAAAAACATTATTTGCAGTTACCAAACATTGAATATAACTGGAAATTGATACAATTAATTAAAAACGATAATGGCAAACGCAAACTTCTTTCTAATATTGATTCTTCCACTTCCTAAAAACTGTATACTTTAGTAGTGCTATATTGCTGCTTGTAGAAAATTATTTGGGAATTTAAATAAAAATTAGGTACCTCCAAAAGAATATTCTGATGAGTGTTTTGACAATGACCAAATTAAAATTTCAAAAATTTATTTATTTATAACTTGTGATATTTTATTATGGTACATTACATTTGAAATGGAATATATTGTAATAACGTATAACCGGGTAAATTTGGGACAGTGTAAGCTTTACAATTTAGCACTTTTTTTTCTTTGAACTAGTACAATCAAATGTACTAACTACTATTTATGCCGCCGCCTTGTGACACCATTTGGAAGCTTTTACAACCGCCGAAAAACGTACTACGGTAAAAGGAATCGAGACACTAGCAGCAATACAAAACCGTTGCAATGATTTATCGTTTCAACACACAACTTTCAAATAAGAATTTGGCTTGGATGATGAACTAACTCTCTTGAAATCACGACTACAAGCTGAAAGCCTCCACATTCTGACTGGGAAATTATAAAAGTGAAGTTTATTCGAGAAAGATCACAAATGAAAATCAATGAGAAAACACTGATTAACGCCATGTAAAAGTCCGGTGTTCACTGTAAATGGCCGACGATGCTCAAAGATCAAATTTATACTCCAGAAACAAAATAGTGTAGCCGATGAACCAGTTTAAATAATTAAGCCATGGAGTATTTACCAGTGTCCAGGAGCTCGAGACATATGACTGCAAAAAATATGACAAGTAAACATGATTATCAAAATTATCGTAGCCTTTTATACCCAGATGAGTCTTCCTTTGACACTTTTGGTCCATTATCCACAGAAAAAACCTATGCTAAAGTTTATTCATGTTTTATTTTTATCTCAGATACCAGGTGTTCATAAATAATGCCTTGTTGTGTAAATAATTCTGCCTGTATTCTGGATCCACCTATTATGTTTTGTTAGGTTAAGTGTTAGGTGGATCAAGCATAGACGTATATATTATCATAGACTGAGCAGACTGAAGAGCTAAGTGACGACATCATCTTTTTTTCGTTGTTCGTTCTTCACTCTCTTACAAATAGAAAAGCTACGACAGGTATCTTATTTAAGTGGAGAGAAGTAGACGTAAGTGTCTTATTCTAGTAAGAGACATAACGAAAAAGCTCAAGAGATCTTCTCGTCGGCCGTTATCCTCGGGCTATGTTAATACCTAAGTATATGGGATCCAGTAGCTTAACAGCAGAACAGTCGGTCGCACACCCAGATAAAAGGAAGCGGTTCGAAGGTGAAGCCGGTAATCTGCCTCGATCAAAAACACGCTCATATAACCGATCACAAAACCTCGGCTATCACACAGAAACATTTTAAGACTATCTTAGCAAGAGAAAGAACTACAACAAAGAATATCAAATTACGATTAGAAAATTTATATACACAAGTTTATAGCTTGTTGAGTAAAATCATTTACATATTTAGAAAAATGAAAGTCAATATAATTTAGAAATAAGTCTCAGCGATATATCTTGATAGAGATTGACATGATACATAAAAAACTTGAAAAAAAGTGCCTCAAATTTACACCGTTTTACGTTATGCAAAAGTGATAACAAAATATTGGAAATTTGAAAAAGACCACTTCACACTATTTTGTAATTTATAACAAATAGTTCGTTATGTTTATGAAAGAACTGGGTGTCGGTTTTTAGATCTATGAAATCTACAAAAATATAAATTTCTTGTAAATAATATTCAAAAACATTTGTAATTACTTATATTTACACTGCCGAGCATAAAATTAGGATCACGTAATTTGAAATTTAAATAACTATTTCACTAGACTATTTTTAACTGATAAAACGTCATAGTAACGCCACGTTTTTTCATCGAGCAAAAAGACAAAAGAGGGAATGTAAAGGTAGGGGGGGCAAAAATATTGTTAGACAGGAAACGCGATCTTTAGAGGCCACATTAAACAAGGAAAGAGAGTCTCTCTCCTTGTTTGACATCAAATTTAGTTGGGTTATGTTCATAGATATATAAATAACTACTAGTTATGTTATTGTTTGTCCCAAATGTCACATGAAATCTTATTTATATTGAAGTTTTTTAACAATTATGTCGCATTTTAGACTATTATCGTTAATAATTAATTAAAACTTTCTCGTCTAAGACCCATTCTGAAAAATATTATATAGCTACTGTTAATAAGTGTCGGAAAATTTAAATTTGGCGCATTCGCATTTCCGGATATGTCCGCCATCAGAGGCCACTTTTTTGGTCTCCTTTTCATAAGGATTAGATTCCCTCTTTTGTCTTTTTGCTCGATGCGTTTCCTACTGACAAAACTCCGTCCTGTCCCTGATTTCCCAGCGACAAAATTATGACAGATCCATCACGAAAGTGTCTGGTAATTCTATTGTTGTCAGTTTGACAAACGTCATTTAGGCGTGATCAATTTTGGACAAATATAATGTATCCAGACAAAAATGAAGTTTTTGCATGCAAAGAAATAAAAAAATTGGTTTCCAAAAAATGTCCCATCGAACACGCAGAGGTCCAGAAGCTCTATTTGGACCCAATCTTCGGAGTTCCTACGGGTGAGAAATTTTACGCGCGAAAGATGTAATACCATAACGGAACTAGCAAAAATTATCGAGGATTATGACTTTAACGTGAAAAAAGGTAATGGCAAAGGTCATAAAGAGTTGTCTGTACAGTCAATGTGAAATACTACAGCAAAAATGGCACATGAAAAATATTTTACTGAGTACAGCATAAAAATCGACTCTTTCACAATCGACTTGCACAAATGTGCAAGATTGGCTAGAGATACCAAGCGGAGGCAGCTTCAAAGTGTTTCAAGAAAAAAGAAAACTCAGTTCAAAAGCATTATCCACCGAAGAACTATTAAAAATCATCCAAAGCCCTGAGGAAACCCCCGATGGAGCACAAAAAAAGTTCTTTCAGCTTTGCTCATTTAAACTTGTTTGGAGAGGCAATGAGGCCGTAAACTGCAAGATTCACTTTTTCCAGAAGGAATTTGATGTTATGGGAGAATTAAAGGGCCGAATTGAATACAACAGCATTTTTCCAAAACCAATCAAGGCGCTTCGAAAAATTTGGTAAAGCAACAAATGGCAAATTCATCAAACAAAAATTTATGCCCAGTTAGATTATTTTGAAATTAATGGAAAAAAAGGATTTGATCAAAAAGAATCTTTCTTACCGTTCACCCCAACTGGAAGGATGGATCTTGGTTCAAAAACTGTTCACTTGGAATCAACACCGTATCTAAGTGGACAAAAATGTCAGCTGAAAAAATTGGAATAGACACAAAAAAAAACATAAAATAACAAACCATTCTCATCTATCTTCAGCTTCAGTTTAAGCCTCCATCGCCAAGCGACTTCAATAGGGTGAGAATAAGATTTCAGAATGTGATCCAAGGTATGCTTCGCCATTTGCAAGCTGTTATCACTTTCAGAAGAGGGAATACTCTCTACTAAAGTTTTTAAAATGTCTTTTATTTCTACGAAAAGATTATCAATGTAAAATTGTCCATTTCACTTTACATATCAAAAATAATTTTTTTCTTTCATTTTCATTACTTTTAATAAACTTCGAATAACAAAAACTTTGCAAGCAATCAATTTGTAAATCATGTTATAATTGAAAAAAAAAGTGTAGTGAATTAGTAGTACAATTAATAGCCTTGCTACTACATTATATCAAAAGAGATAATGATACATTTTTGAGGTACCAATGAGGGAAATTTGTGAAATACCTAGTTCTTGCACAAATACAACGAATTCGCCTCTGATCCAGCAGATTTCAAGTAATAAAGTGTTTCAAATACACTACACAAGGAAAAATGTTGGCTTTATATAAAGATAACAATTTATCAAGTATATGAAATCACTAGTATTTACAAGTAAGGCCAAAAACAGTTTTATAGATTAAACTGGTTGAATGCTTTCAGTTTACAGTTACATTAAATCTATGTAAGATTATTAGTGTGACTAGAGTAAGAAAATTAGTGTTATTAGTAAGAAAGTTTGTTCGATAGAAAGTTTTTAATACTAAATCACACTTATTATAATAATAAAACAGTGCTTTTAAAATCTTTTAGCAATTTGTCAAAACAAATACTAATATATTTGTATCTTATTAGAGCCTTGATTATAATTATGTAATTTAATATTTTAACTTAGGTTATATTGTATATATACAAAATATAAGCCATAATTATGTTAGGCAAGAGTCATATTTATACGAAATTTAAATATCGTCACCCTAAAGTATTAACAGTTTTAGATCCACTTTTAACGTAATAGTATATAGAGGTAGCACCTTTTATCGGAACGACCACATTGACCGTCATAGACGAAAGATGGTTCTTGATAACTGGTCCTCATAAGACACCTAACTCTCACTTATGACTCCAAGTGCCACACTCTGGGCAACTGCATTGGTCTGTAGACTAAACTAAGAGAGGGTAGCCAGATATGGCGAAAATTTCACTGACCTTTTGCCGGTGTAAGCCATCCCACACTTGGTAATCAACGGCTCTGGGCGGAAGAATTGGTAGGTGGTAGGGCACCCATTTTGTCCTGGAGTTGAGAAATCGGTCCCGAAGGTGGATGAACCAATATCTTGGTCAACGGCATAATGATGTAGAAGGCAAGGGGAAACCACTACATTAAAGATCCCCATGGATATAAATGTTAGATAATGGTCAGACGTATAAATAGAAAAGTAAACAGTTTTAATGAATATATCCTTATCATGATCAACACTATATAACATCACTGAAAATTATGACAGTTGATTAGTGGTTAAGAATATTTAACTCGAAGTTATAAATAATAGGCTACCTGGTATTTAATGGTTTCATTTGGAAAAAAGTTCTACAGAATTAGCACCTTCATTTTCCTGATTAGGATGAAAATTAAATGCTATATGAACGAGCCATTGCCGTTGAACCTACAATTCAAGATTATAATCAAAGTCCTGGCAGCTATTCCAATAATAATTACAATAAAATTGATGGACACAACGCTCAACTGGTTTAGAATAACAAAATCCATATTTCCAATATCTACAGTGATTCCAGTCGAAAAACATCCAAAATCTCACCGGAAGCTACCAGTGATTTGTTTTAACTTAAAAGGAAAAACATGATTCAGTAAGCAAGATACTCCATCAAGAAATGGAAAAAATTGGAACTTCTCCAAACCACTGTCTCCCTAATTATCAATGGGTATGTTCCTGACAGTATGCTCAAATATGTTAACTACAAGCTATACTGGGACCGCATTGTGCTCACAGACCAACCAGTGGCACATAATAGACTGAATCTCATCATAGTTAAAAATTAACTGGATAAACAACACTAATGGTGTGGCAATTCCTAACCGCTTGACACCGTGTGAAAAATACACACAGAAAATCACAAGTACAGAGTTCTTGAAAGAATGTAAAGTATCCAGATGGTAGACTTTGTCCTATCTACTACTGGTGTCATTCCAAGTAACCTCCTAAGCAATATCAAACAAACAACTATTAGTGAACATCTTTGTAAGGCAATTAGGTCAATTAGCAATCTGGAATCAGTGAAATTTCCCTTTAGAGAGAGTGAGTTCCAAATAACAAACCGGGATTGATGATGACAATGCTCAGCTGGCACAAAAAATTGAATGAAATGCCAGTTTCTGATATCTCTGACAATAATTCCGTTCGGAACTGTATGATTGTCGATTACTCTGATATAGATTCAAGAATAATTGTTGAATAACCAACAAAGATTAAAAAAATAAAGTGTTCAAGTACAGGAATCAACTTAGTTTCCACAAAAATAAAAATATATGGGAATCTGGAAAAAGATATTTAAGTAGAAATATAAAAGAAAGGAAAATTTAAGTATAAAGAATCAAGAGAACCGAATATTATGAAACTTAGTAAAAATATCAATACAAAAAAGAGATGGAAATAAAATTCTTGTCCTTAAAGACATATGTCAAATATTTGATGTATTTTGAAAAATAATGTTCATAAAAAAAGGTATTTGTAAACAGTTATATGGTTTCTCTATCTTCTAAATGAGCAAGAAATCGAAAAAACTCTGATAAGACTAAAAAGGATATTATTGCAATGGTTCCTAAAAACCAAATAATTTTTTTTGTTACAAATACAATCATTTCGTTGAACAATATAGAAATTGGAACATGGTTCTTCTTTGTAAAAATATTTCTGACTCAAACTTCAAGTATTTTAAGAAAAAGTTCTTGAACAGTAGATACACCATTTCATAACGGTCATAGGTACATAGACGTTTTAAAATGGTTTTCTGTTACGAAATAGCACTACTGTAGAGCCAGTATACAAAAGAAGTACCTATTACCAGAAGAAAATCAAATCAAGGGCACAAAATATAGAAATATATAAGAAGATTTTGCCCATTCATTATCAAATAATGTATGACAAACTTTCTACTAAAATATATATTGTAAATTTCATCAGTATATACACAAAACATAGACATTTGTAAATGAATGCCGGTTTTTTGAAATTATTTAAACACTACTGGATTTTTAAGTTTTCTTTTGTTTTCCTGTAAAATTAATCACAATGGATATAGCTGTTTAACACTTTATGGTGACGATATTCATATACAAATTGTGTTATCTACTACACAAACAATAAAAAATATTAATAAAAAACCATATGAATTAAATGAAATTGAACAGTAACATGTTTATGTGATATGTACTGCAATAAATGATTTAATTAATATAAACAAAATATTTTTCTAATATAAATAAGGAGTATTATTACTAATACAGGCATGGTGAAAAAGCATCTTAAAATAAACAGTTGAAACATGAATTTTTGATAAATTGTAAATTACCACATTTAGTTTATTTGTGAAATAATTCTTCACAAGTACCTAGGCTTTATTGGCAAGTTTTTAGCTGTCATAAAATAAGTTGTGGGTGTTAATAAAGGCAACAAGAGGTTGTGTTATCAAATTATAAAAGCTACATTTTTCTAAATTTGTGACACAAAAGTTAGAAAAAAGCTTAACTGAGTTTGAAAAATGTGCATTTTAACTGTCATGATAAATCAAGGATAGTACACAAATTGTGTTAAAAAACTTTCTGAGATTTCCAAATACTTTTAATTTAAAATATTCAATGATTTGGAGAAATCCAATGCAAAATTATAAAGTATATATTCGTGTTTATTAACAACAGATTTAATTTTTTTATTCATATGTAAAATTTAGGGGATATAGAGTATATTCTACTGTACATCCAGATAATGCAGCTAAAGGAGGAAGTGCTATCATAATTAAAGATAACATCTTGCATCATGAGGAATTAAAATATGCAACTGAGCACATACAAGTTAGAACAGTAAATGTGAAGATGAAAACATGTATCGTAATATAAGTTCAATATATTATCCTCCTAAACACTCCATTAAAAGAGAACAATATAAAGAGTTTATGAACGTTTGAGGAAAAAGATACATCCTTGGTGGCGACTTTAATGCAAAGAATATCCACTGGGGCTCTAGGCTAACTACAACTAAAGGAAAAGAACTGTTGTCAGCTGTTAAAGAACAAAAGGGTGAAGTAATATCTACCGGTAGGAAAACATACTAGCCTACTGATAGGAACAAAATTCTCGACCTGATAGATTTCTTTATTTACAAAAATATCTCAGCTAACTATCTGAATATCAATGCACGCATTAACTTTACAAATAAAAAAATTCATGTCAAAAAGAAAAGAGGGGAGTTTGATATTAGATGTTAGAAAATTGTATTGGCTGATTGGAAAAAATTCAACATTATCCATTCATAATAAATTATCCATTTACAAGCAAGTACTGAGGCCAGTATGGGTATATGGGTACCAACTCTGGGGCTGTACCAAAGCTAGTACTCTACATATTATCCAGAGATTTCAAAACAAAGTACAAAACATTGTTAATGCTCCTTGGTACATCCGTAACAGCAACCTCCACCAAGACCTTGGTATGGAAACTGTGACCAAAGTAATCAAGAGAACAGCAGCAAGTCATTAGCGAAAGCTGCGTAGTCATGTGAATGTCAAGGCAATCCAGCTTCTTGACAACACTGAACTAAAGAGAAGACTCATAAGGACAAAACCATTTGAGTTAATGTAAATGTGTACTGATGTAAAAAGCAGAATATAGTGCTGTGATGTTATTGCATGTTAGTTGTAGTACATTAGTTGATAGTTAAAATAAGAGTAATCCATAGAATAAGCCCTTAGATTTAGGTATTTGCTATTTATTAAGTTAGGTCAGAAAATAACTGATAATTTTTCATTTGTGACCAGATAGCAGTATACAAACACTGCACAGGTGTTATAAAAAAAATTAAAGAAAGATTTAAACTAGCAACATCCTCTATGTTCCTTTAAAAAGCACCTACTAAAAGTAATTGTTATTTTATTAATTAAAAAAAAAACAAAAGAATAGTGTGTTCTATAAAATTTAGTTTTTCATGTTTTTTCCAATCAAATCCTATGAGGTAGCATCAAATGAAGAATATATTAATAATTAATAATAAAAAATATATATAAAAGAACTGCTGAACAAAAACAGGTTTTTCAGGCCTGTAGAATGTAATCACTTCATATGTTCACTTAAATAGTATTATTACAACAAAATAAAAATAAATAGTTTAGCCTATTTTAATTAAAATCCACTGCGTTCTACCTAATAATTGGGTTTCTTGTTCTTGCTCTGAAAGCACTTGTATAACACTTTACGGAACAAAAATATGAATCAACTGGAACATACATTTTCTCACCAACAGAAGTACTAACACTTTCTGCAATACTGGTCAGCATCAAATTATGAGCAGTCTTTATAAATCTGTCCAAGCATGCCCTTCCACACATACAAAAATTGGCACTATCTAAGTAGGCAATAACAGTCCAGGGAAGAGTTCCTGGTGGATATGGTATTCTGGCTCCTAGAACTTTTCGTCCAGCATATTCCTTTAATGTACACACTGGCAATGGTTCACTTGAACTTACTGATCTAGTAGGAATGTTCTGTTGAAAATTGTTATGTGATAGATCTATTGATTTTAATGATAAACTTTTTACATTGCCGGGTAAGGTACTAAGCTCATTATTACTGGCATTGAATATTTTTAAATTCCTTAATTTACCAATACCCGGTATTAATTTTTTCAAGCAATTGTTATTTAAGTTGAGAGTATCAAGTTGACTTAAATGAGATATTTGTCTAGGCACATACTCAAGTTTATTGTGACTTAGATTTAAAATTTGAAGTGATTTTGAAAGATTCCCTCCAAGCCAATTCCAACTTTTTTCTTTAAAAAGTAAATTACAGGATATATTAAATTCCCTTAAATTAGGTAGAGTGTTCAATTCTTTGGGAATGGTTTCAATTAAGTTATTGCTCAAATCTAGAACTTTCAGTCTTACTAAATTAAAAATTCCTATATCAACACCACATCTATCTATACCATTTATATGTAATTCTTCTAAAGTTCTTGGAAAACCCTTACTTGGATAATCTGATCTTTTTTGTATAGACAATGTCTTAGATGGCATATCTTTTAACTTTACTCCTGTAACTCCAATGCTCGACGTCGTTAATTCCTTATTCGAAATTTTGTTTTCTAATGCTCTTCTTAACAAATGTAAAAATGCTTTCAACTGTACAGGATCAGAATCTATAAACAAGTCATGTTCTGGTGATACAAACTGAACTGTACATTTTCCTTCATTGACAAATTTGGTTAAAACCTGCTTGATATTATCTTTTATAGCATATTTTGTACCATTTTGATTTTGACTAGTAAACAAAATCATGCAAAATTCTCCAGATTTAGGATGTTTGCAGAGAGCCAAAGTGGATTTTACATATTTTCTTCCTCTAGCAGCTAATTTATTCGGCAGACTGCGATATCCCACGTAAATATTACAAACAATTTTCATTATTATTTCCAACTTTCGACAATAAATAGCTATAAAGTAACCACAACATGAAACGATTTTTCAAAAATAATCTCTGGCCATCAAAATTGGCATGGCATTGACATAGACATACATTATTTTGACAACTACCTTGTCAAATCAACTCGATCTATGGTTGAGCTCTTTTTTTTGTCTAAGGTTGAGATTATTGTAATGACGTTTTATTTACGTCATTGGTTGAGTCCTTATCCTGTAAATGAATTAATTACTATTTAACTGGGAATAAGCCACAATTAAAGATAAAAATACGTTTATTGACGTTTCAATTTCCACTTCGGAAATCGTTCTCAAAATACAAAAAGTAAATTTACTGTTGATATTTTTGCATAAATTGGTAACACTTATTTGACAAATGCGGTGTTGACACTTTTTTACTTTATTATTTTGAATTTAAAAGTAAATACCTCTTGTTTTATATTTTTACCTATTTAATAAAATCTGTTTTTTTTAACAAAATTAGTGTGTTATATTTCAAAAATTTCACGTAAGAATTTAAATAGTCGTTGTAAAAAGATGGTAATACTTTTGCAATAATTATGTGACGTATTGATTTAAAATGGATTCAGGATTTTTTATACTTTAGCAACTATGTCAACTTCGATATCTGTCAATGATAATGATGTGCAATGGTGAGTAAATTAGATGGAGTATATGTGTATTCCTCTGACGTCTGAATTTATTAAATCATCTGTGATCTGATCTGTGTGACTGACGTGACTGTGTGTTGTGTGTGTACTGTGTATTCTAACCTGCATGTTTAACTTGAACTCAAATAATATATTTTTTTATAATGTATGCTTGGCTTGAACTGTGGACTTTTTGATAAAGATCTTAATTAGAGCGAATTATATTTTCAAGTGTAAACCACACTCAATCAATTAGCTTTATAGTTCTATGTAACTAAGCTCAAAATTAAAAAAAAAATGACTTCCAAAATATTTAAATCTGTGATATTAGGTGCCCCAGGTTCTGGAAAAGGCACAATTTCCAGTCGAATTTTAAATGCATTTAATTTAGGATACTTGTCAAGTGGGGATCAACTAAGACAACATATTCAAAAGAAATCTGGTAAGTACAATAAATTAAATTATCTGAAATACTTTTTTCTGTAAAATCATTTTACTCTGTTCATATGTACTCATAGAAACGTTTTGCAGCTATTGGTTTAGAAGCTGAAAAATTTATTAATGATGGAAAACTGGTTGCTGATGATGTTATGATTAAATTTATATTGTCTGAACTTAATAATTTATCAAGTAACATCTGGTTACTTGATGGTAAGTATTCCTTTAGTTTTCTCTGTGTTCAGTGTCGGCACTTTTGTAATATAAGGGTTTAAAATGTATAACAATGAATTATGCTTTCAGTGTGCAAAAATCGTTTGTGTTTTGATTACCCTGCTCTTTATATCTGTACCTACTACTTTTTTATATAAATTTGTCCTAATCTAACCTAACCTAAAGAAACAATACTTATCTGTTTTCCTGGTATGTAGGTAGTATTTACTATATATGAATTTTTATGAAAATGGAAATTATAAAACATTTGTATCTGGCTTTACTGTTAAAAACAACTTAAGTTTACTGTGACTTTTATTATAATTGTTTATAGTATTTCATATATTTTTTCTAGGTTTTCCAAGGACATTATCTCAAGCTAAAGCATTCTGGGAAGTCGAAAAATTAGACTTAGCTATAAATTTAGTTGTACCAACTGAAGTTATAGTCAGTAGAGTGACAGGAAGATGGGTACATCTGCCAAGTGGTCGAGTTTATAATGATACGTTTAATAAACCTAAAGTTCCTGTAAGTATCTCAAACTGTACTACTACTGTAATTACTGTACTACTTTAAAGGCAGGGTAATTCTCCTTTCTATAAAATATTTACTTCTTTCATAGTTTTGTTGTTTCTGTAGTATATTTCACAGTTTTATAGGTACCATTTTAGATACCATTATATTTGACATTAGACATTTTTCCTTACTGTGGTGCCACTTCTATCTATCAATCTTCTGAGAACTTCTGTGTGGGTGTGCATAGAGAGAAGTTTTGCTCTATAATTAATCCATTAGCCACAGATTGTCTCACATTTGAAAAAAATATTCTACAAAATTTTGAGGTGATCAGTGATTTTGGAGATTCATTCATCTCCTGTAATAACAGATGCCTTAAGAATGCTCCTCTATAATGTCTCTTGAATTTCTCTATTACTCCCTGGTCTAACAGTTGAATTAAGCTATGGACATTCAGTGGCAAAAATCTGACAACTATGTCATCATTTTGTAGGTTTTGAGGATGAGTTGATGCTTTGTCAACAAGCAGCAATACTTCAAAGGGAAAATTTTTTGATTTTAAAAAGGACTTTACACTTGGGACAAATTAATTTTCAAGCCATTCTAAAAATAAAGTGGTCAACATCCATGAGCTTTTTTGGCTTCTATAAAAAACTGGAAGTGCTTTTTCTGAAACCATCTTTTAGAGCTCTTGGTTTTTTTTGATATCCCAACACATATAGGCCTCAATTGGTGAGTTCCTGTTGCAGTGCTACAAAACAGAACTGTTATTTATTGTTTATTCATTTTTGAGCCTGGTTCACTGTGTTCATGTTTTGATGAAAGTGATTTTTTGAGCAGCATTTTGAAATTTAATCCAGTCTTATGTGCACTGTAAATTTGATCTTTGGTGTAGTTTGCCAATGATTCATCCATTTCAGATTTAAAAATATTTACAGCATCATGGTTAGCAGATGTCTTATCTCCACATAAATTAACTTAACAAATAGCATACTTATTTTTCCATTTTAAATCCTTCACTTATCACCCATCATTGTGGATAACATGTTTGCCTTTTCTTGAATTATTGGTCCAGATAATGCTACTCCTTGGGCTCTTTGTTGTGTGAACCACAAATAGACAGCTTTTCTTGTTTGGCATTTTTAAAGCATGTTACTCAAATTTGCTTTTCATTTTAAACCAATCTGAAATTGTAGAAACGCCAACGCCAATAACCTAAAAATCTTCTTTTGTTCTCTAAATTCGTATGTTTTAAAGTTTCATAATTCTGTCTCAACTTTTTCTAGGGTAAAGATGATATCACTGGCGAGCCCTTAACAAAAAGAGGCGACGACACACCGGAAATAGTTAAGAAAAGATTAGAATTATACGATGAATTAACTAGACCTGTAATAGAATTTTATAAAGAGAAGCAGATTTTAAGAGACTTTGCCGGAAAAACTTCTGATGAAATTTCTCCAAAAGTGATTAGCTGCTTAAGAGAATTTTTATAAACAGCACAAGAAAAACGGAAAATTTAAAATAGTTTATAAACTAGTAACACTGAAGCCAACATATTTCTTGTACTTTTATAATTTTTTATATATTAAATGTTTTTTATATATATTCAGTTCTATATCTTTTATAGTAGTAAAAATGTTCACAATCTATCTTCATGTGTTTTATTTATATTATATCTTTATCAATGTTGCTTCTCTTGTGTTTAGCTCTAAGCCTTACACTTTCATATATAACCAGTGGCAGTACCGGCAACACTCTATAGTCAATATTATTATTATTATCTATCTATATAAAAGACTATGATGACAAGTCACACCATTTGGCCAGTAAACTAACGACTCCATCTAGGAAAGAAACTGAACTACCACCTGTGGAAAAGGTCGTGAATGTGAAGGAACTAAATCACAATTCTCGTTCCAGTTGATTTTACTGTTAATTTTTTTTTTGTATGGTCCTCTCTTCCTGCTTTTCAAAATTCTCATTTTCTATAATATAGAATATATTCTCCATCTGTATCATTCCCTGTATCTAATTTCCACTTTGGACAGAAGTTGACTGCCAGTTAGATTGTCAAAAGTGCCTCCCTCATCCTCATCCTTTAGTTCACTGATATCCAGAGGATCAATGAAGATTTCATCTGCATCATCTATATATGCTAATTCTATTGCTTCTTATAGATGTAAACCTCGTCTAGAAAGAAATTATTAATTTTATGGTTGAAAAGGACACTTACTCCAGAGAGCCAAGAGTTACATATATGTAACTCTACAATTCAAAGCTGTTTTTATCAAACATACACAAAGTATTTTATAAATTTTCAGAGACAAAACAAAAAAGCATTATTTAACAGTGTTCTTGTAAAAATATCATGCATTTTACTCTAAAAATAAGATTTTTGTAATACTTAGTCAAAACAAATGTTATGCTCCATAGTTGCTAAATTATATCTGATTCAGACATCAGACTGCAGTTACTCACTAACTAAAACTATCAGCGTGACTTTGCACAGAATTCTTTTTATGTTTGTTTTGAATTCTTGATTGAATACGTGATTATAGCCAAACTGAAACTACATGTACATTTTTCTAAGTATCTGTGCAAGAGTTACATAAAAGTAACACTAGGTCATAACGGGTTAACTTGATTAATGTGCAACTAGAGGAAAAAATATTTATAAACACACTAGAGAATGTATTTTTTGTCTATAACGGAGATGACATACTTGTTTATAGCTAAGGGGCATAAAACACAGGCAATTTTCTTGAAATGGACTATTTGGAATTAATCAGTCTCTTCACCAAACCCACAATATGTTAAAAATGTTAATCACTATTAATTAAATTTTTTTATTGAAATACAAATACAGATCATGTATAGCAAATATGGTTTATCAAATAAGTAACACAGTTACAATCTAGTTATAAATATAATATATTATTTAGTTTTTCTTTTCTTGTTAGACCTGCTACCATCAGTAATACTTTTTCTTTGTTTACTTTTAGGAGCATATTTTGATTCCAGATCGTTCATGAAGTTCTCAAAATTGGCTGCTCTTTCTTTCATACTTTTCTCCATTTCTTTTTCTAACTCATTCACTGCAAAAAAATTACATGTAGGAGTGATACATAAATTTATATAAACATAAATATAAAATGACACATTATACATATGGCAACATAAGTAATCCTGATTTGTGCTTGTTGACTTTTGAGAAAACATTCCTACAAAAGTGGTTTACAATAAAACACATAATATGGGGGACTATAAATAGAAAAGCACATCAGAAAAGCAATTTTTTCTCCAAAATACAGAATATTATTAAAACAAACACTAATCAAAAAATGTGTTTTCAAGATGTTGCCAAGGAAATAGCAGACAAAAGCCTTTGGAATGTAAAGCATGATAAGATGATAGACCTTAAAAGAAATATTAGACAAAAATACCTTAGATTAATAGAACCAATGTGTTATTCGCTAAAAACTGAAATTGACTAAAGATTGGAATGGCCAAAAGTTGAATTGTTCACATATACTTACTTTCAACTTTTTCAGCTTCTTTTTTCTCCAATTCCCATTTTCTTCTCCTTCTAAGCTTCCTTTGCTTGCTCTCGTTAAAGAATGTGTTATAACTTTCCACCTCACCATTGTCAACCATCTTCTGAACAGTTTCTATGATTCTAGGCTCACTGTCACAATTGCTGAAGGGTACCATTTCCAAAATAGAATCCATGTTTCCTCTGCTACCTTCGTAAGCTTTCTTTATATCCCTATATTCAGTCTCGGAGCCTACATATTCTTTTTCATATTCTTGAATGTCTTTAAGTTCTATCTTTTTAAACATGTTCCTCCAATAATCCATCCAATTGTAGGATGTATCCAAGTCATAGTCAAATTCCCCAACATCATCATACAGCTTGCGTTTTTCTTTGTTTTGTAAAATTGAATGAATTTTACCCAGGACTTTAAACTTCTCTGTAGCTATTTCCTTTTGGTCATGTGTAACCCTATCGGGATGGACATGAAGGGACAATCTATGATAAGCTTTTTTTACTGGAAAAATCATAAAATTTTAATACAACAGCGAAATATTAATAATTATAGTTATAGAAAAGCAATTTTCTTAATAAAAATACTTACTCTCTTTTTCAGAAGCATTTGACTTAATTTGAAGTATTTCATAAAAATTATTGCTACCAAAATATTTTTCGCAAAGTGACTTAAAAGACGCCATGATTTTTAATGAGAAAAACAGATCAAATTAGAAACAAATTTGGCATAAAATGTGTAAAGTAAAAACGTCCCGCTAAAATTTGACAATATTGTTTTTATACAATCAAATGTCAAAAGTATGTAATCAAGGCTTTTATGGCCTACGATTCCATCAGCTACCAGCTCCTTTACTAGAAATGTCATGCATGCTTTTCATTTTGATTTAAAAAGTTCCTTCTAAATGCGTGCCTACGTTATATTATTAATAACATATGTATTAAATTACTGTCGATTTAAAAATACGATAACTGTTTATTTTAATATATCTTTTTGAATTTTCTTATTTTTTAAGGGAGCTTTACATCTAGGCTATGCAAGTCTCATGCTATGCAAGTCCGTCTTGCATGGCACATCTCTTGCCTAGCTCATAGATATATAAAATTTTTACATCAGAGATATTTCTGTGCAATTTTAGATCCCACTTTCATTGTTGCCAACAGAGAAAATATTTATCAATTTGAGGTTATTTTAATTTAAATAAAAAATATAATTAAGTACTAAAATAAATAATATAATAAATAAATATACACTATTTATGGTTATTAAAAGGGTGAAGGATGTCAACCAAAGAAAAGAAAACATTGTTATTGTTGAATATTGCTGTTGTAGCAACAATCATCCATAGTCAACGACTCACCCAGTCGTTTTTACATTAACTTTAGACATAGTATATCTATTTATCACCACTTAATAAACTTAATTTAAATCAAAACACAACAATACACATGTGGGTTAAGGGACGCTAAAGATAGAGATAAGGTTATGTTTTATTCTGTAATCTATTATAAATTGTTATGTTGGCAACATGAATTTTAAAGACAGTTTTACATTATGCTATTTTCATGCTAGGCAAGAGCCATGCAAGACAGATCATGGAACTGCGCATGCCCACGGGCTATTTCCATGCAATTCCTGTGCTAGACGAAAAATTAGAACATGTTCTATTTTTCATGCAATTTTCTTGCAATTTATCGTTAAAATTCATGTTGCCAACATAACAATTTATAATAGATTACAGAATAAAACATAACCTTATCTCTATCTTTAGCGTCCCTTAACCCACATGTGTATTGTTGTGTTTTGATTTAAATTAAGTTTATTAAGTGGTGATAAATAGATATACTATGTCTAAAGTTAATGTAAAAACGACTGGGTGAGTCGTTGACTATGGATGATTGTTGCTACAACAGCAATATTCAACAATAACAATGTTTTCTTTTCTTTGGTTGACATCCTTCACCCTTTTAATAACCATAAATAGTGTATATTTATTTATTATATTATTTATTTTAGTACTTAATTATATTTTTTATTTAAAATAAAATAACCTCAAATTGATAAATATTTTCTCTGTTGGCAACAATGAAAGTGGGATCTAAAATTGCACAGAAATATCTCTGATGTAAAAAGGTCAAGCTAGGCAAGAGATGTGCCATGCAAGACGGACTTGCATAGCATGAGACTTGCATAGCCTAGATGTAAAGCTCCCTTTAAAGATACTTTTAACTACAGAACAACTTTTTTACAATACTCATAAAACAAATATAGAACCGGCAACTTTGATGTTGTCATTGTATCGCCGAGATTACCCGATATATTTTAAAATAGGTTAACCATAGATTAGGGGAGCTTATTTTTAAATTATTGACCTTTAATTGTTTATGAGACGGAAACGAATCTTTCAATATATTATATTTAATATATTTTATATTCGTTAGAAAAAATTATTTTTGCTGTAAACATTAATTTAGTTGTTTTTTTTTTTAATTATTAATAAAGTTTTTTTGTTTGTAAACTCATAAGTTTCCCACGAAATATTGGGTATATTTTCCAGATGTAATAAATGAGAAACTGCTCAAGTATTTTCAATTACTTTCATGACACACACCCTAATTTTATGTAAATTTCCCGTTGCCACCCCTAAAACAATTGTTTACAGTACAGTCTAAGTCAAACATTCATATTTGAAATAAATGCAATATTAAATATACGAGATTTTAAGTGTAACCTTCAAATTCTTATGTTGATACTTTTTGTTTTATTAATTTGTACAATAAACAAAAGATTTACATTCCGTTTCATTCAGGCAACAAAGACGAAAATGTTTTTTTCTTATTTTTAGGTTGGTTATGAATGTCTATACTCCAGACTGTATCAAGCCGGCAGATTGCAAATGGCGGCAATGAAAATCTATAAATAAATATCGTGTTTTCAATCCTTAGAAAGTTTTTATTTAAGAAAAAATTGTGTTTGGATTCGTTTTTATACAATTTAATACGTTTTATACAAAAATCGGTAAGTACTTAATTCTTCTGTCGTGTGGAATGTGATTAAAATCGGGTTGTTTATATTTTAAAATCATTTCTACACCCCCTGTGAGAGCAAGTAAATATTGTATAACGCCGTATCAAGCTAGGACATACGTTTCGTTCCTTACATGCTTCTAACATACGTTCTTAGGCCCACTTTACAGTAGACTTGAGTCTTAGATGAGTTCTGATAAGCAATATAATTATTTAAGTGATACATTTTGCATTAAAAGTTTTTATCGATCTTTAAGATTTTTTTTCGAGTATTTGAGTGTTTATAAAATTCTCTGTGAATAACGAGGTAATAATATTAAACCGCTATACGTAGAAATAATAAAGTAATAGATTGTTATTGCTGTTATTGTTTTTGTTGTAATATTTTTTCGTGCCATTATTTAAGGGTTAACCAAAATGGCGAGGCGTGCTTTTATATAATGTTTATTTTAATAATCGTTATTTTTAAACACCATACTATCTCTGATTCATATTTATGTGTAATCTTTTGAGCTTGTTTTGTTAAACTTATTTTGTTGAAATGATGTGCTTGAGCTAATTTTAACTAATTAATGTTTATTTTTGTGTTGCTGCGCGGCTTCGCGTATGCCGTGCAAACAATTTATTTAAAACTTGTCTAGTTTTTGTAAACCATATTCCACTATCTAAGAGGTTATGTTTTGAAAAAAAAAATATTCAGGTATACCTAGAATGTTTTTTTTTCGTATCTCAGTTTGTGCAATCTTTATCTTGATAAGCAGGTACTACACCCCATGCTAAGAATGATAATTATGGTTCTATTCAACGAAATGTATAACCCATTATTGATTATTATTACTATACTTTTACAATAATTTTAACAATTTGGCTACTGTTCTAAAAAATTCCCCACATGTGAAATTGTAAAAATTTTAGTCAAAATCATAATTTAACATTTGTATTACTGGAATTTTAAAATTTTTATTCATAAATACACAATTTACAAAATTTTTAATTCAGGATTTGCAATTTATTCATATTTTTCAAAAATGATTGAAGGTGAACCTTTCAATTATAAAATATGAATGACTTTTTTGACTCAAGTACACAATAGATATGATTTTTACATTTCAATAATATAATATAAGAGAAATTAAGTAAAATGTAAAAGATCTCTTCTGTTAATTTCTGTAATAACCTATGAGTCATGTTCCATACTGTTGAATACTACTGTTTAGGTATGTATCAGAACTTGCATAAATGTAGGCTATTTATGTCACACTGCATTGTAGAATTACACAAAACAAAAATTAAGAAAAGGAACACATAATATTATGTGCTTATATTACATTATAAAAGTAGCAGATAAAACCAATATTTTTTACAAGAAATTGGTAACAAATGGAATGTAATGTATGTAATATTCCTTCCTAAAATGTACAAAATTGCATGAACTAGATAAAAAATAATTATACTTTTATTATCAATAATTCAAACTGTTACTAATCAATGGTGCTTTATGCAATCTTTCATGAAAAATGATTGCAATTGCAATGATTGAAATCTGCAAAAATAATTGATTTCATGGCAAAATTTTTCGCATATATCTGAAGCTTTTAAGACAGGTGGGGGTTACTAGATGACAAATAAATGAACAAGTACTCATATTTTACCTTGCTTTTTTTTAAACAATAATATATGGTGACAATTTGATTTTTTGTCTATTTCCCTTATATTTTGCATAAATAATATTTATTATCATTTTTTTTTTATATCAAGAATATCTTTATTTTCCTGGTTTTTGAATTAAAATTGATAAACAATTTACGGAGATATTTGCAAAAAGGCAGTTTTTTTTCTAATTTATAAATTTTATTAATTTTCTTAATAACAAAATAAAATGTTATTAACACATTTTAACATAGAGGAATTACTATCTTTTAAATTTGTGAGAAATTTCCTCCCGATCAGTCAAATAGTTTAAAAGTTATTTAATTTATTTATCCTTGAGGCTAAATATTTAAACTATTGAACTTGCTCTATTAATGATGCTAGACACATTTAGCAAATTTAACAGAATTCTTTAAGACTTAAACTATCTCAGAAGTTAAATGCATGTTGTATTCGTCATTTAGTAACCCCCACCTTCAGATATCGGTGAAAAAATTTCGACTTTTTTTTTTTTCAGACTGGGCTATAATAAGATCATTAGGCACATATATTTAATTTGCCTGAAGTTTTGGTAATTTGGTAATTGGACAATGTATGTTTTGGTATTCTTACTTGACTGAACTACTCATCAGTTTACTATTTGGTTTTAATATATAGGGTGCTATACAGGGTGTTTCATTAATAATTGGAAATATTTTAACTGTAGAATCCTGGGCTCAAAATATTAACTTAACCTAAACCACTTAAATAAAATGTGGCTAATGAGTTATAAGTTAAAAACTATTTGTACTTTGACATATCCTTGTCATATTTGGCAGAAAGTGAGGGTACTGTTTACACCCTACTAAATTATATTAAATAAACATTTCTGGCTACTATCAGAGGTGTATGACCAAGGAAAGTGAATAGTTGACCCTTCCCAAATTCACAAATTTTATGCTACTAGTGGAATTGTTATTTTAGCACAATTTTTCGATTCTCCAATACTTTTTATGTTAATATCATCATTTGTAACAATAAAGTCATTATTTTTGAGATATTTGAAGTTAAAAATGAAGAAGGCACAGTTATTTTGAATAATGTATTAATTATGTCAGTGTTTTTGGGTCATAGAAT